TACTGCTGGAGCGGTCCCGCTTGCCTGTCTCTTCAGCGGCTGCCCAGAGAGAGGCCCCAAGCATAAGTGACAGAGGCTCGAAAAGAGCCCGAGATTGGAATGGGGCAGGTGCTCCAGCATGGAGCTACAGACTAGATCGAGTGCAGCAATACTGGCTTGGGGGCCCAGCCGGGTCATCTATAGCCACTTGTGCCTTGGTTTCCTCATATGGGAGGATGACACTGATCTGCCCTGCCCCATTAGTGGTCAAGAGAATAAGCATGGATGATGAGAGTCCTCAGGGAGCAGAGGCTCAGGTGCTAACCACAGTACCTGGAGCCAGGCAGCTGAGCCCTGCTGACCCAAAAGGCATGGCCCACAACATCAATCACCAACCAAGTCCACGTCCATCTGCTACCTGAGATGGAGGCTGTGCTGACGCTGACCAGGTCTGCTCCAGCTTGCCTTTTGCCCAAATCCTTGCCCCCCTTCTCCACCTACCCGAGGTCAGCACTCACCTCCACCCACAGCACCTTCCTCCTGCAGCTCCCCCCGCCAGCCAGGTTGGTTGGCAGCAGGTCCCCTACGAGCCTCAGCAGGCACCACAAGAGGCTCACCGGCAGCCAGCTCCGCTCCTGTCTGGGCCTCCAGCTCAGCCTTGGAGCCAGCCAAGGGAGCCCTTAGGACATCTCCCCCTGCCCCATCCATGCTCAGCACTCGAGCATGCGTTTTGGCACTGGCAGTACTAGGCGTCCGCTGGGTCCCATAGGGCCGCTTAGGAGGCACGGCAGTTCCCTCCTCAGCCCCATGAGGGGCCCGACGCTTCCGAGGCCCACCTGCTGCACCCCGGGAGCTCTCTGGGGAGTAGCAGGAAGTAGATGAGGAACTGTCGGTACTGTAGCGGCGCTGTGATCGGAGACTGGAGGATGGGCTCAACTCACTGCCCTCACTGGTGTCTTCATCCTCAAAGAAGCCTGCACCCTCAAGCAAGGGCCGTCGAGGGGCACGGCCAGGTGGGGAGTGTCTCCGCATGGGTGGCCGCCGTTTGCCAGATCTCAGCAGGGCCAAGTCCTTAGGCCGCACAACTAAGAGCGGCTCAACTGGGCCCGGTGGCGTCCCTGCTCCAATGACTGTGTCAAAAGAACGCAGAGTATCATCTGAGGGAACCCCAGCATCTGGTGAGGCGGGCAGCTCAGCCTCAGAGGGGGGGTCTGTGTCACTGCCTTCAGGGGCTTGCCCACCAGGTGGACTGTCCAGATGTGTTGAATTGGTCTTCTCACTCTTGAAGCTACTCAATGTCTCCCTGTCTGTGCCACTGAAGCAGGAATCTGAGGAGCCGGCTTTCTGAGGCGTGGGCTCACCAGAGCCCCGCCGGTCCAGGGGCTGGTAGCCTCCTGCTCCCCTGCGTTGTTCCCGTCGACTGCTGGTCCTTACCAGTGCCCGGTCAGGCCGGGTCAGAGTAAGAAAGCTCTTGCTCAGCTCCTGGCTGAGGCTGCCCTTCAGCAAGGGGCTCATAGGAGTGTCAGCCATACTGCTCCCACCCCAAGGAGGTCCATCTCCAGCCAGGGGAGAACGCTCCGAAGACTCTGTGCTGGGGAGAGAGGGGTCTGGGATAGCCCCTGGGGGCGTCTGGGGAAGGTCTCCAACTGTCAGAAAAAAGGAACACAAAAAATGAGAGAAAGGCATTCTCCCAGGAATCTAGGGACTAGGGAGTTCACAGAACCTCTGCTTTCCCTGACAGCATGGCTAGGGCAGGCACGCTGAGAAGGTCCCTTCCAAGAGTATGAAGGGAGCCCCAGAATGAAACAAAAGTTATGGTGATACAAGGCCAAGACAGCTCGACTCCCCCCGCCACAAGCCCCTGCCCTACTGTGCACACTTACTCAATTTCTCTTGTAAGCTGAGCTTCAGCATTTCTCGATCGGCAGAGGTCACGATCACATTGTTGCTGCCCTGCTCCCGCACCAGCTCCTTGATGTCTGCAATCATGGCACCAGAGGTGTCAGCAGGACCCTGGGGTAGCTTTGTGCCATCCCCTTCTACACCACCATGCTCCAGTCCTAAGCAGCAGCCACCTACCTCTGAGGGGCCCAGAGTCTTCCATCCGAGGGAGCAATTCCTGAGCAGACAGAAAGGAACACAAAGGAGCTAACAGAGCCAAAAGCAGATCCAGGGCATGCCCACAACAGGGACTGGCTCAAAAGAAAGCAGTGGGAGAAGCCGGGAGCAGGGTCCACTCACCGAAACCTGGTTGAAGCCAAACACAGAATGCTGGGAACTGCAGCGTACTGGGGGTGTGGAACTCACTTTCCGAAACACTGTCATCTCCACACCAGGGTCCCTGATAACACAAAGACAACAGCTTTAAACTAGTCTCCCGTCTTTATTACTACTCATCGTCCTCACCACTCCTTCTTCCTCCCTTCTACAATTCCAGGGCAGACTACAGGACAGTGCTCACATTTGCTTGGAGCCAATGATGGCTCTGCCCTCTCCACAGTCAAGGCTCAGGCCTAGGCACCAAGGCCCCTCGACCTACAACACAGTTGCTGCCCCACCCACCTGGGCAGACTGCTGTCCCCCTGGGGAGGCTCTTCCTCCTGCTCCCCCATAGTAGAGTTGCGCTTCTCCACAATCTCGCCCTGGTCGAACATGGCATGCAGCCGATAGTTCACAGTCTTGATGGTAGCAAAGATGACGGCCACCACCAGGCAGTACACACCAGCCACCATCAAGCTGGGAGGCAGGACCTGGCGGTGGCAATAAGTTAGGTACATTCTCATAAAGCTCTGCTTCCTTGGGGTGTACCTGCCACCACTGTCATGGCTACAATTCACGAGTTCACAAGACTTCATCACTCCTCACACAACCAGCACACAAAGACCCTGTCTAGGAGCCTCTGTCTTCTGCTTAACTGGGAAGAGATTAAATTGGGGGTTCAAGGTCACCCGACCCAAAGAACACACCCAAACTCTACAGTGGTTCTTCTCTTTCCACATCCCAGCACCCAAAACGTGTCCGAGAATCCCTGCCAGGCTATCCACCCTTCGTGACCTGCCCTCCCTTTCCTGGAGTGAATCACAGGTGGCGGCAGGGTCTCACCATGTACAGCAAGAAGGGAAAGGTGAGCAGGAAGATCCAGACATAGAGATGGAAGCAGTTGGAAAAGGTGCTCTGATGCGGGTCGAAGAACCAACCGCCAGTGAGCGAGGCCCACACCCCCTGACGCAGGATCTGCAACACCTGAGACCCCATGGTCCCGCCGCTGCTGCGCGCGCCCCCGTCCCGGGACCCTCATGGGGGCGGCCCCCGGCCCATGCCCCGCCTGGCGCCCGAGGGCCCCGGGGCCCGGCCTCGAGCTCACGCCATGGCCTCCCCCAGAGGGGGAGGGGATCGGCGGGGCGAGGGTGCGGGCAGGGGGCGGGGCCGGCCGGGGCAGTCAGCGGTGTGAGGCCCGGGCGCGGGGGTGGAGCTGCATCAGGGGCGGGGTCTGGGCCCCCACCCGTGGCCCAGAACTGCTCGAAGGGGTCGAGCCAGAAGACAGGCGCGGGGCACGGGCTGGGCACCCGTCGGCGACATCCAGAGGTGGGCGTGGAGTGAATGCTCCCGGAGTGCAGGCGACGGCTCCCTTGGCTCCCAACCGGGGAAAGCCCCGGGACCCTGAGGTCCACTTCCGGGGTCGTAGGTCACTCGCTTGGGGCTCCGCGTTCGCCCCGCTTCTGCCGGTGCCGGCCCAAGGGGGAGGCCGGAAGAAGGAGCCGCGAGCCGCCAGCCTGCAGTGGCGCATGCGCCCGATAGACACAGTTAAGACCCGGAAAAGGAAAACCCGACGGCAAAAGTGCGCAAGCGCAGAGCAGTAGCAGTGCGACTAGCCTCTTAAAATTCCCTTTGGGCGTGCGCAGAGTCCAGGTCCAAAGAGTCTAAAGAGTAGAAGAGATTGCGCATGCGCAATCCCAGGCCGGGCCAACCTGGAGGAGCCCATTGAGCGGACCCAAGGGATACTTGACTGGCCATTGGGTAACCGCGTAGTAATTGGCGGAAAGCTCTTCCAATGAGTTACAGGAGGCAGGGAAAAAAAAATGGAGGCGTGGACTACCCAGGGCTACTACTAAGAGTTTGGATCGCTGGATCACGTCTTTCTAGAGCGGCCTCTTTGAGCGCAAGACCTCCAACGTCACGATCGTCTCTCACCCTGAGCCGCCTCTATTTCCGGGTCAGAACTCAGACCTACTGTATAGAGAGCGACCGTCCGGAACAGGCAGAAATAGTCGAATAGTACAGCGTCGTCTTTCTTAAAGTGACAGATCAAGACAATTGGGGTCAACCCTACCCAGCGGTTTCGAGGGCCACTCAACTATTCTGAATGCAATCCTGAAAAAAGTTTTGGACAAGTCTCAGGTTTCCGCCCACTGGGGAAGGGACATGAAGAAGCATACTGTCTCCCAGATAAGGGGAAGAGGAGAACCTTAGTCCGTTTGAAGAGCTTGAGGTCTAGTCAGTTCCGTCGGTCCTCCAGTCTTCCCCATCCCCATCCCAGTAGCTGTGCAAAGCGGAGTTTCTTTTCCCTATTTCATACATGAAAAGAATGAAGCTCAGAGAAAGTGGATCACACAGTCAGTCCTGCAACTTTGCAATCAAGATCAGATTCGGGCTTGCCGCCTTCCCAAGTACGGTTCTGTAACCCGTTTTGCTGATGCGGTTCAGGGCAGAGGGCAGGGATGGCCCGTCTTTGCAGGTCCACTTTCCTCCTTGGGCAGCGGAGCACCCAGGCTGGGGCTTTTCTTCCTAGATTCCAAAGCTTACTGTGCTGGGCGTTCGGGGCTACCCTTGCCCTCCTTCTCTGCCTCTCCTGGCACGCCTCCCCGGGAACTCCCAGGCCCAGCCGCCCAGAGCCTCCGGGAGGGGAGCGGTGCAACCCGCCCGCGTCATCTGATGCTGTTTCCTGCAGGAGAGTGAAGAGCGGAAAAAAGTGAAACTCCACCCTCCACCTCTGCCTCCCGCCCCCGGGGCCAAAGTACAAAGGGAGGAGGAAGAAGGGAACGGGGTCGGAGCCGTCGGACCAAAGACACTAGGGCCGGGAAGAGTCAGCTCCGGCCCAACTAGGAACTCTTCCTCCATCCCTGAGCATAAAAACCTAACGAGTCCAGACGCTGCCCCTGGCAGGCCCCACCTTACACTCGGCAGACACCGGATCCAGACTCCCAGGACTACTCCGGGACTGAGGGACGCTCAGCCCCTCCAAGTCAGCCATGGTGAGGCACTGGAGGCCCCCGGGCCCCACCCCTCCAGCCTGACCACACTGCCCTCGGTGCCCTCCTCCAGAAGCCCGAGATGCGGGGGGCCGGGAGGCAGCACTCCTGGCTCCCCAGAGAGGCGTGGGTCTGGGGCTGAGGGCCAGGGCCCGGATGCCCTGGTTCCGGAATTAGGGCCTCAGCAGCCAGCAAGGGTGGGGACCACTGGCACCCGGAGAAGGACCCCACACACATTCCAACGACGGCTCCCGGTCATGGAGCCCTTGAAGAACCTCTTCCTCAAGAGCCCTCTGGGGTCATGGAATGGCAGTGGCAGCGGGGGCGGTGGGGGGGGTGGTGGAGGAGGCAGGCCGGAAGGGTCCCCGAAGGCGGCAGCTTATGCCAACCCTGTTTGGACAGCCCTGTTTGACTATGAGCCCAACGGGCAGGACGAGCTGGCCCTGCGGAAAGGCGACCGTGTGGAGGTGCTATCCAGGGATGCAGCCATCTCAGGAGATGAGGGCTGGTGGGCAGGCCAAGTGGGCGGCCAGGTGGGCATCTTCCCTTCCAACTATGTGTCTCGGGGTGGCGGCCCACCCCCCTGCGAGGTGGCTAGCTTCCAGGAGCTGCGGCTGGAGGAGGTGATCGGCATTGGTGGCTTCGGCAAGGTCTACCGTGGCAGCTGGCGAGGGGAGCTGGTGGCTGTGAAGGCAGCTCGCCAGGACCCCGATGAAGACATCAGTGTGACAGCTGAGAGCGTTCGTCAGGAGGCCCGGCTTTTTGCCATGCTCGCACATCCGAACATCATTGCCCTCAAAGCTGTGTGCCTGGAGGAGCCAAACTTATGCCTAGTGATGGAATATGCAGCAGGTGGGCCTCTCAGCCGCGCCCTGGCTGGGCGGCGTGTGCCTCCCCATGTGCTGGTCAACTGGGCTGTGCAGATTGCCCGTGGGATGCACTACCTGCACTGTGAGGCCTTGGTGCCTGTCATCCACCGAGACCTCAAGTCCAACAACAGTGAGTTTCTTGGGGCATGGATGGGGAAAGGGGATGGGAAGACATGGCCCAGGTTCACACCTCTTAATCCTCAGCTAAACTTAGCCAGGGATCTGCTGGAGGCCAGAGCTTCTGCCTGGGGAGTCCCAACTGGCCAGGGTCTTACCCTGACCCCAAAGCAGGAATCCCAGGCACCTGGTAGAGTACTTATGCCTCACCTGGAAAGCGTCCTTGACCCCAACCTGTAGCTGAAGTTTGGGCAACTTAAGTTGATGAGAGCAATCAGTTGTGAGCCGTCAGCATGCTGCATAAGCGTGCTCACCGCCTCAAGGAAGCCTCCTGGAGGCTGATACTCCTCATCTTCCTCCTCTGAAGTTCACGTTCATGATAGTGGTGCTCTCTTCTCATACTTCCCCTCAGGGTAGGCAGCTCCTCTAGGATAGAGATCTCAGAGAGAAAACCCCCTTCCTCCTTGGTAAGAAATCAAGGTTGGCCTGCTCCACCCCTCCCTGGCCATATGACCTTTATTTGGTTATTTCAACTAAGAACCTCAATATCTGCCTCCCTAAAAAGGGAGTGATCAAGAGGCTGAAATGGCTTAACAGCCCGGGGAAGCCCTGGTGCATGATGCCTAGCACAATGGGTCCTCAGCCATGGATGTGGACATTCGAGAGCAGGATGGAAAGAGGGCCCAGCCTGGAATCAGCACTTATGGTGGTGGAATACCTGACTAAGGAAGACCACCTCCAGCCATTTCAGGCCCCCCACACACTGGCCATCATGGGCCCAAATAAGTGAATGACAGGTTCAGAGGGCAAGCTTCGCTCTAGGCAGCATTTAAGTAGAGAGCCCTTGGTTGGGTGTCTAGGCAGGACCTGACCATGAGGGACACCAGGAACTGGGCCCTGAACCCAGGACAAAAGCTAGACAGCAGTAGGAATGCAAGGGGGTGGGAGACAGCTCGGTGAGCTCACTGGACAGGCACAGAGATTTTTAAAGGGGATGAATATTTTGAGCCTCCTGGCCTTGGACAAGGGACTGGGGAAAGCAGAACACTGGGATCCAGTGATATCCACGTCCTTGCCAAGGTTGGAGGGGCCAAGGGACACACTCATCTATAGTAGGGAGTACTTGGCTTGTCTTAGCCTCACACCAGGGCCCTAGCCATTGAAGGACCCCCACTCCCTGCCCTAGCCTGAGGGGGATTCCCCGAAGGCCCAGGGGGTGGGGGCTCCTGTCTTCTGTTTTTCCTCCGTTCTCTTTCCAGAAAAAAATGGAACAATAGCCCAGGCCCCTGCTCCCCACCCTCCCCACCGCTTCCTGTATTTCCTGCTGCCCCTGGCCTGGCTTCCTGCCCCTGCTCCAGCCCCTACTCCCTCCCTAGCCCAGCTGCCTGCAGGGGAGGAAAGAGCTGGGGGTGGAGGGGTTTCTGGAGAGGAAGGCACAGGGATTGCTCCCCCACATCCCCCACTAAATTCCCTTGCTTCCCTCCCAGAGTCTGGATGGTGGTGAAAGGCAGACAAGGTGCCCTCAGCCTCTGAGCCTGGCATCCAACCTCACAGACCCCAGGCCTAGGCCTAAGTTGCTGTCTGCGGGATTGGGGTGGGGGGAGTCCCTGAGCTGGGGGGGGCAAAGGCAGGAAACAATGGTGTGATTTTCCTGGACAATGGCGGCCTTGTGAGGAAGCCTGGCGGGGAGAGAAGGGGGAATTCTCCAGGCCCACGAGTCACAGGACTGACCAGCCAGCCGGCCTGGGCCTGACCTCCCCCAATTCGCCCCCAAGTGACCCCCTCCTCCCAGTTGGAGACCTGGCCCAGGCCTTCCAGAAAGGAGAAGTAGGGACCATGGAGGGAAGCGGAAGAGGTGTGAGCTGCCCAAGCTACTCCACAGCCCCACAGAGGCTAACTGTGGGAGGGGGGCACGAGTGACCATGTCCCTTTCAGAGGCAAAGGACCCCTAAGCAGGGGCCTAAAAAGCTGTAGGCTTACCCCAGCCCTAAGCCTTTAGGCTATAGGTGGCCACTGACCTCCCACACCCAAGGTCTCTATCACACACCAGAACAGTAACTTAGGTTGGGACAAGGTCAAGGCCCAACCAGGCGGCACGACAGCTTGGAGAAAAAAACGGGATAACAGCCTTTGCAGGAGCAAGAGATTAGGGGTGGGAAGGGAACAGAAAGGCCACAAGCCCGAAGAAGTCCTGACACTTTGGGTGACTTGCTACGCCTGTCTGGACCTCAGATTACCCAACTGAAAAAGGAGGAAATTGGCCACCCTGCTTGAGATACTGGTGCAGAAAGCGCATTGCCAGTCTGTGAAGTCCCATGGGTGGCAGAGACAAGGTCAGGAGGTAGCAAGTGCTGGTCTTCAGAGGAGAGGTGGGCCCTGGCTCCAAAAAGGGAATCTGTGCGCTCTTTCCCCTCCTCCCCCAAACCTGTTGCTTGCGCAGGACTGACAACTGGTCTAGTGCTAAGCCTTCCTCCAGCAGCCAGACCAGAGGCTGCTGTGAGGCTGGAAGTAGGGAGTGAACAAAGGTGAAGAGGAGAGAGTGGACCGGCCAGGAGTGAGCACAGAATCTCTAGGGCAATTGGGATTTAGGATGCACCTGCCAGATGTCAGACTCCAAGCAAAGGCTTTAAAGAGTGTGAACCAGTTTAATACCCATTACAACCCTCTGAGGTGGGTTTTATTGCCATCCTCAGTTTTACTAAATTGTGCTGGACTCAGCCCCAGTCTGGATCAGAGAAGTGGGTGGATTTCGAGACCATTCTCTTATTTTTTGCGGGGGGGAGTAGCTTTTATTTTGGGTTTTTGTTTTTTTTTTTTTTTGGCAGCACTGGGGTTTGAACTCGGTCTCACACTTGCTAGGCAGGCACTCTTACCGCTTGAGCCACTCAACCAGTCCTTTTTGGTGATTTTTTTTCGAGATAGGGTCTTATTGACTGTTTCCCTGGGCTGGCTTCGAAACCAGGATCCTCTTGATCTCTGCCTCCCAAGTAGCAATGATTACAGGCAAGAGTCACCAGCACCCAGCTTGAGACCATTCTCTGAATTAGGACCAATTACAAGAAAGTTTGCCAGGAACAGAATAATAATAAAGATTATTGAGAGTATATGGAAACCAGATGGAGCAGCTGATGGGCAGCTGAATTGTATACTGTCTGGTCTAGAGCTCCAAGTGTGGGAGAAGCCAGTGAGGAAGGGTAGCTGTATCTGGAAGAGGCTGAGGCAGCCAAGGGGACAGGCTGAGCTCCAAGAAGCCCCAGAATCAACAGAGCTGAGAGGAAGGCCCTCAAGGAAATGCAGCCCAGGCCCTGAGAGGTGAGGATAGCAGGGAGTGCTTGGGCAACTGTGCCAGATCCCCCATGAGGCCCCAAGGCATGGCCAGTAGCAGGATAGGGAGTGTAGCTTCAGGCCCTCAAAGATGTACATCTGGTCTATCCACCTCCTCTGAGAAGTCCTCCCTGACTCATTTGGCTGTGTAGGTGCCCTTCCCTCCCTTTTGCCCCACCCCCACTACCTATTGCTACTCTATTACATCACTGACACCCTGTGCAGAACAGCTAAGGGGTGGACCCTGACACATGTGCAGAACAGATGTCACTTCTCTACCATGGAGAGGCCCTTTAGACCCTTGATGATTCTATGACTTCGTTCTTTTTTTTTCTTTTTTGTGGTACTGGAGTTTGAACTCAGGGCCTTATGTTTGCTAAGCAGGCACTCCACCACTTGGGCTACTCCACCAGTCCAACTTTATTCTCTTTTTTATCCCCTCTAAAACTTCTCTCAAGGGCCAGCAGAGTACAAGTACAGAAACAAACAAACAAACAAAAACTTCTCTCACTTGAGCCGTTTTTGACAGAGCAAGAAATGTGCAGGTTGCTGTTTCTCCCTGTACCAAGTATAGCGGCCCTGTCTGAATTGAAGCCAAGAGTCCCTGCCAAGTCTGACCATCCACTCCTACATTGGTTGCAAGCTCCTCCTTTGTGACCAAGAACCATCACCCCCCACTTCACACCCAGCTGCCCTCAGAGGATATCTTCTGGAGTCTTTCTGCTGGGAGTGACTGCCCTAGCCACCATGTGCTTGAGGGTACTGGGGACCCGTGGTGCCTACTGGCCTTCCTTGTCTCACCTATCCCCAGGGGTGTTCTGATTAAACTTCTGCCTTGGCAAAATGACCAAGCCACTCACTAATTTCTCTTGAAACCAGAGCCACAAGTACTGAGAACATGTCACGTTGCCAGTTTTTATTTCTTGCAATATGAGGGAAAAGTTAGAACATTCAGCTTTGGAACCATACAGAGCAGGTGGGAATCTCTGCTTTATTTGCTCTGTAATCTTGGCCAAGTCATTTCCCTGCTGTTTCCTCTTCTGTAAAATAAGAATAATACCTACCTCATTTTTTTTGCATACTGCAGCTTGAACTCAGGGCACTGTGCTTGCTAGGCAAGCACTATACTACTTGAGCCATGCTTCCAGCCGTTTTTTGCTTACTTATTCTTTGGATGGGGTCTGGAATTTTTCCTGGGCTGGTCTCAAACCTTGATCCTCCCAATTTCCACCTCCTAAGTAGCTGGGGTTACAGGTGTGAGCCACCACACACAACCTTTTTTTTTTCTTTTTGAATGCTAGAACTGAGTGTAAAATATCTAGCCTGTAGGAGACTGAGTAAATGTGTCCCAGAATTGTTATTTTGTCTGATTCCACTCCACCCCCCCAGTTGTGAGCTTTCCAGGTCAAGATCCAACACCTGGCCAGGACAGCTGTCAGATGAATCAGATGCTAGAAGCTCTTTCCCCTTCCCCACCATCTTATCCTGGAACACCCACAATCTTTCTTCCCCAGTTCTGCTGCTGCAGCCCATTGAGGGTGATGACATGGAACTTAAGACCCTGAAGATCACCGACTTTGGCCTGGCCCGAGAGTGGCACAAAACCACACAAATGAGTGCTGCAGGCACCTATGCCTGGATGGCTCCCGAGGTTATCAAGGCCTCAACCTTCTCTAAGGGCAGCGATGTCTGGAGGTGAGGCCAGGGTAGGGTTGGGATCTGCTATGAGTCCACAAAGGGCAGAAGTGGTTCTCAAGTCTAGAGGTGGAGAGACAGGCTGAGCCCAGGGAAAGGGGCCCAGACCCAGTTACTCCTTGCTTTGGGGTGAAATAGCAATAAGTGGGCAGAAGAGGACACACAGCTCTATCTCGCCCACAGCTTTGGGGTGCTGCTGTGGGAACTGCTGACTGGGGAGGTGCCCTACCGAGGTATTGACTGTCTTGCTGTGGCCTACGGTGTGGCTGTTAACAAGCTCACATTGCCCATCCCATCCACCTGCCCCGAGCCCTTCGCTCAACTCATGGCCGGTAAGAGGACAGGACGGGCAAGTGAGGAGGGGCAGAACTCCCCGTCCCAGGTCACATCTACTCACAGACCTCCATTTTCTGTCCCCACTCCCTGACGTGCCCCTAGACTGCTGGGCACAGGACCCCCACCGCAGGCCAGACTTCGCTTCCATTCTGCAGCAGTTGGAGGCCCTGGAGGCGCAGGTCCTGCGGGAAATGCCGCGGGACTCCTTCCATTCCATGCAGGAGGGCTGGAAACGTGAGATCCAGGGCCTTTTCGACGAGCTGCGGGCCAAGGAAAAGGTACGAGGAATGGAGGAACCTAGGGTTGGAAAGAGTGTCTCCCCAGCTTCGGTGGGGCAGAGAATGGGGGTGGGCGCCGGGGTCAGTGCGGACTGACCTCACCGCCTTCACGTCCCCGGCGTAGGAACTACTCAGCCGCGAGGAGGAGCTGACGCGCGCGGCGCGCGAGCAGCGGTCACAGGCGGAGCAGCTGCGGCGGCGCGAACACCTGTTGGCCCAGTGGGAGCTAGAGGTGTTCGAGCGCGAGCTGACGCTGCTGCTGCAGCAAGTGGACCGAGAACGGCCCCACGTGCGCCGCCGCCGGGGCACCTTTAAGCGCAGCAAGCTCCGAGCGCGCGACGGCGGCGAGCGCATCAGCATGCCTCTGGGTAAGGGGTGGGCCCCAGGATGCCTCCCGGCCATTGGCTGCAAGTGCTAGGGGGCGGGACTGCGGAGCCCATTGGCTGCGTGTGAGAAGGGGTGGGGTCATGCTTTACTAGCCGCAGTGGGATTGGTGTAGTGTGTTAGTCCGGTGAGCTGAGGACTAGAAGGGGTAGGACCCGGTGTATTTTGCGTCTGTGGACGAGTTCTGGCGGAGATATTTGCATGTCAGTCTGGGAGTGGCTGCAGCCGGAAAGGGGCGGAGCCGCCCGGCGCGGGGAACCTCTGCCTGCCAGGCTAGTCCCGAGTGGCAGCGTGGACAGTCGCTTTTCCTTACCCAGAGCTTGGGGCCCAGGAAGGCAGTGAGGTTGTGCAGTCACATAGCCACCTTGCCCCTGCCTGCGTGTCCTGGGAACCTCCCGAGGACCCCTGCGGTTTGGGGTCCGGGCTCTCCTTCACACACCCGCACCTGTTCCCTCCTTTCCCATTCCCAGACTTCAAGCACCGCATCACTGTGCAGGCCTCACCTGGCCTTGACCGGAGGAGAAACGTCTTCGAGGTTGGGGCCGGGGACTCACCCACCTTTCCTCGGTTCCGAGCCATCCAGTGTAAGACACGAAGCCTGCCCTTTGTCCCCCCAGTTCCTAGTCCTGTCAGACCTTATCCCTGGAGGGGAACCCACTGTCTCCTCTCCCTCCTGCTTCCAGATTCTCTCCCCTCCATCTGGATAGTTACTCTGAGTTCCCCCAAGAAACATGTATTTTATTTATCTTTTTCTAGTATTAATTGCTTACAATAGTTGGTTAGGTACATATCATCACTATTTAAGTTCTGTAGACAAGAAACAAGAAAAAGTTACTTGCTGCACAGCCAGTAGGTGTAAGTGGGAAAGCTAAAACTCAAACTCAGGCAGTTGGCATCACTGTGCTGTTTTTTTTTTTTGGGGTGGGGGGCAGGGGTGGACTGGGGTTTGTACTCTGGCTTCGTCCTTGCAAAGCAAGCACTGCGGCTGCTTGAGCCATATCTCCAGTCCATTTTGCTCTGGTTATTTCGGAGATGAGGCATCTGGAACTATTTGCCCTGGCTGGCCTGGAACCTGTATCCTCCCGCTCTCAGCTTCCAAGTACCGGGCTCTGTGCCAACTTCTCACCAGCAAGTGTCAGCTGAAGAATTAATGAGGTGCCCCACCTCATTGCTAGTCCCAGGACCCTGCCCATCTACCCCACTCAAAGCCCACCCTGGGGATGATGTACCTAGCCTGTCCCCCATCTTCTAGAGTTGCCCCCTGGAGCCTGATTACCATGAAGGGGGAAGGGACAAGGATCAGCTCAGATGCCATCTGGTTCCCTTACAGTGGAGCCTGCAGAGCCTGGCCAGGCATGGGGCCGCCAGTCCCCCCGACGAATGGAGGACTCAAGCAATGGAGAGCGGCGAGCATGCTGGGCCTGGGGTCCCAGTTCCCCCAAGCCTGGAGAGGCCCAGAATGGGAGGTAAGTGACTGAGTGCCCCCACCCCAACCCCAGCATTGTACTACCCTGCAATTCTGAGACTCACAGAGCACTTCTCCCTGCCCTTCTCTCTCCAGGAGAAGGTCCCGCATGGACGAAGCCACGTGGTACCTGGATTCAGATGACTCACCCCCCTTAGGACCTCCTTCCACACCCCCAACACTCAACGGTGAGTGGCCTTGTTTCCCCTAACAGGATCTTGCTGAGCACTTTCTGCAGGCACTGGGGTACAGCATGAGAAACCAGCAGGCAGGGCAGGAATCCTGCTCTGATGGCTCTTGTTCTAGAGACTGGAAATCTGAGGCTGAGACAGGACAGAGCCAGTCTTAGAACTCAGGTCTAACATGCAGGCCCATAGCCAGTGAACACAGCCCAGGTCCAGTGACCAGGCCTCCTTCCCCACAGGCGGTGGGAGGAAAGGAAGCAAGGAGTGGTTCCACCCATTTGGTACCTGAGAGAAGCAGAGCCAGAGAGGGGAAGGAAACTACCCATATGAGTTAGAGCCAGACAAGTGGCTTCCATGCTATGCCTCACAGAATCCCTTCTGAGGAGGCCAAAGGTGAGGAAGAGGATAAGAAGACTGAGCAAACAGAGATCCAGGGTTCATTGTCACTGCAAGGGGGAAGGTTCAGGCTTTTCTGTTCTCCATGATGATAACAGCACCTACTGTGTGCCAGGCATTCTGTCCAACCCTGCAAGAAAGATGGCATTATTGTCCCCATTTTAGAGATAAGGACACTGAGGCTCCAAGAGGAGAAATAACCTACCTAAAACCCTCAGCTAAGGATTTGAACCAAGAGAGGCTTTGGCTTCCATCTCACAGCCAGCTTCCTGGGAACCTTTCACTTGAGAAAGGGATCCTCATTTACAAACCACTTAGGAAGCTGGAGCATTGGCAGAGATCAGGGCTCCGCATCAGAGTGAGGAGGGCTCTGCTCCACACTGCCCAGCCTTGGCAGGAGCTAAAGTTGTGGCCTCCCTTACCTATGGGTCCCTGTATCAATCTCGGAACTATCCTCAGAGCCCTAGCTCTATCTCCTGTTTACAGCTAGAATGCAGCACTCTGCCTAATGGCTCAGACCAGAGCTCTGTTCACCATACGATTTCACTTCACCCCTCTGACCTCACCCACCTAGCCATCACCTCCATGATTACCTGCTTTGATCAACAAGCTGTTTCCTATGAGCCAGGCAATTCTGTAGGGTAGATATTATTATTATTGGCTCCGTTTTACAGAAGGGAAAAGTGAGGCACAGAGAGCTTAAGTGGTTTACTGTAAGGCATGCAGCAGAGTAGGTATTTGAACCCAGGTCTTTCTGGCCTCATAGTGGCAGGGCCCTGGACCTCCTCCTACCACACTTTTTATTTTTTGGTGTCATACTTGCTAGACAGCTACTTCACTACTTGAACCATTCCGCCAGCCCTGTTTTGTGTTGGGTATTTTTGAGGTAGGGTCTTGCGAACTATTTGTCCAGGTCTGACTTTGAACTTTGATCCTCCTGATCTCTGCCTTCTGAGTAGCTGGATTATAGGTGTGAGCCCCCAGCACCTGGTTCACTGGAGTGAACATTTTTCACTCCAGTAGTTGTATTGCACTGAGCTAGCTGAGCTGCAGGGGCTGAACTGAAAACTGAAAGGCCAAGGGGATTGGATTCATCTGTTCTAGAATGTACCAGGCCAGAAGGCCATGGAGAATTTGAGGTGTTATCAACCCAGGTGTGTTGCTCAGAACAGTTCCTATGTTCTACAAAGCCCTCTGACCTCCTGGGCAGGGACAAAAGGACATGGACCCCATTTTCCTCAAATTCGCCACATTACCTGAAACGACACCACCTCCCCCTGCCTAGCTACTGACTGAGGATGTGGTTCCCCTAGACCAAGCCTCTACTACAGCTGCCACCTGGGCCCATAAGAGTTTGTGACTTTGACCTCCCAACCACCCAGAGTCAGAAGCCTGGCTGAGAATCAACGAGTGGAATCTCACAGTGGTCCCAGACTCTGTGAGTGTCCTAGGCATAAGCCACCATTGGTGATTCCCCAGTCACCCACTCTGTTCCCTGCTGGATATTCTGGTTGCAGTGCATTCCACATTGGCAGAGTGCATCCGGTCTACACTGACAAAAACTCAGAGCCACTAACCATTCCAAGACCCCTTGGAAGCTATTTCACCTTCATCTCTGGGTCAAGAATATTCACACTGCTTTTTCCTAAACAAGGTTGGTTAATTCTTGACTGCTAGGAAGCTTACAGGCAAATTAAAATCCTGCCTGAATTAGCTTGGATGAGTCACTTAACTTTGGGAACCTCCATTTCTCAGGACTGACTGTAGGAACTTTCTTCCATTCACTCTCTTGTGTACTGACCTCCACTGTCATTTTCCTTTGTCTCTTTTCTCTTGCCTACTTTATTTATTTATTTATTTATTTATTTATTTGCAGTGCTGGGGATTAAAACCAGGGCCTTGTTCATGCTAGGCAAGCACTCTACCACTGAGCCAATTTCCAGCCCTCCCTTGCCTATTTTAAACACATCTCTCCTCTCTTCCGTTTCACTCACCATAAATGATCAGTGTCTTCGCTGGTGGAATAGAGAGAATCATCACCTCATGTGGTTGGTACAAGGATTACGAGAACAGATTCTTTCCCCAGACATGTGTTTATTCATTATGAACCAGTCATCGACATGCTAGATAGAGATCAACAATGCCTTGACCTTGGTGAAGGAGTCAGATTTATAAATAAGCAAATTTATAGCAGGTTTCTGGTAGCTCACACCTGTAATCCTAGCTACTCAAGAGGCAAAGATCAGAATGATTGAGTTCGAAACCAGCCTGGGGCAAATAGTTCACCAGACCCTATCTCAAAAATACCCAATACAAAAAAGGGTTGGTGGAATGGCTCAAGTGGTAGAGCACCTACCTAGCAAGCATGAAGCCCTGAGTTCAAACCCCAGTTTCACCAAAAAAACCAAAAAGCAAATATAGTAGAGATTAGCAAGTGCTGGGAATGAAGGTTGTAAAGGCGTAACATGAGCAATAACCACACAGGTTCAGGTGGATTCTGGGAAGGCTTCACAGAGATGAATCTCAGCTAAGAAGTCACTGAAGTGAGGTAGGGAAACATGCCACCAGAAGGAAGAGGAAACCTGGCTAAACTCAGAGAAGAGATGAGAGCCAGGGAGTCTCAGGCCTGTGACAGTTGCAGAGGGTTTAAGGGTCAGTAGATGTTAAGTGAGTAAGTAAATGAAGCTTGAAAAGTAGGAGGAGCCAGTTCTGGAAGGGCCTGCCGGATGGGGAGTTTTTGTTTATTTGGTTTTTTTGCGGTGGGAAGTTGGCAGTACTATGGTTTGAACTCAGGGCCTCCTTCTTGCTAGGAGGCCCTTTGAGCCATGCCTTCAGCCCTTTTCTCGTTTCTTTCTTTTCCATCCCCCACCCCCACTCTCACCCCACCAATCTTGCATCAGCTATTTATTTATTTACTTATTGTGGTGCTGGGGATGAATCCACACCCTCCATACATTGGGCAGGTGCTCTGTCATTGAGCTATACTTTCTGCCTTCACTTCAACAATTTTTTTTAAATCATTTCATTTAAACTTTGGGGTTCCTGTAGTTGGCAAACTTGGAGTTCCCAAAACTACATTTGATTTTTTAAGACCTATTATTTTTCCTAGTATCTTCTTACAGAACTGTCCCCGTTTTATTTTTCTTGAGTTATTTTTCAGGTTGTGACTTGCCCATTTTTGCCCAATCGAGATACTCCTATCTATGGCCTCCTGCATAGCTGGGACCACAGGCATGCACCACCACACCTGGCTCACTGATCGAAATAGGGTCATCTTACCCTGACTGGCGTCTCACTGTGATCCTTCCCATATCCACCTCCTGAGTAGCTGGGATTATAGTCATCATGCCCAGCTGATGGGAAGTTTTAGAGAGGAAACCTGTCTTTAGCAGGTTTGCATTTTAGAAGGATTCCCTGGGCCCTGAGTAGCAGTGACCAAGGGTGGGGGAGGGGGAGAGAGCTAATAGACAGGGAGCCTGGGTAAGAGTTGTGGTTGAGAAGGAGAACTCCAGGCCAAGTCCTAATCACAGCAGAAGCTCACACCTCCCAGTCTTAAATTCCTTCTGACAGCCAACCCAGAGCTCTTCTCTAGGCAGGCCTCACTGGAGAAGGAGGGCAAAGGCAGAAGAGACCAGGCTAGGGAGGACTTTTACAGCCCAGCCAAGGAAGCTGGATTTCCTTTTCTTTGAGTGGATGGAAAGCTAAGGAGGGATCGGACAAAATCAGATTTGGGGAGGCTATCCTCCTAGAGGCCCCTATGTGCTACTTGGTGCCCCAGGTGGTCTAGAAGCCAACCCCAGTCCAAAAACTTGAAATCTAGGATAGTGTGTGTAGGGAAGTGACGGAGGTCAAAGTACCTGGAATGAGGCCAGGTCCACCCCCCCACTGGCCGTGTAGCCTTATGCAAGCCCTTAACTTCTCTAGGCCTGGAGCCTCTGGGGCAAGAGGATCAGACAACACAATGCCTCTAATCCACCCAACTCAGGTCTGTCAGAAACATGTGCTATAAAATAGCTGTGACCTCAAGCAGGGCACTGACTGCTCTGAGCCTCAGTTTCTTCAGGTCTACGGTGTACATTGGAGTTGACCTGTGTGCTCCAAACAAGCTACTGCTTGAGTGAGAGCAAGTGTGCAGAAGGACCAGGGTTGCCAGCCAGTAAGGGAGTGGGCACAGGGAAGAGGGTGCTGTCCCAGTCAATAGGCCCAGTTTGTGCCTGGACCTGGGGGTTGCCCTTCGTTGGCTATTGAGGCCTCTTCTGTCATCCTGTCCTGCCTCCCATGTTTTCTGCTGATTCCCTGGCCTGCAGTGCGCTTTCCCAGCTCCCCTCTGAAGGAAGGGAGAATGTGTTGATGGAGGAGCTAAATTGCCAGTGCCATGGAGCCAGGAAAGATGTTGGTGGGAAATAGAACTCAGTCCTGTTCCAAGGCCACTGTGGAGTCCCAGGGTCCTCGCCTGGAACACGCACCGGCCTCTGTCTAACCTGAGCCATTGCTGCTTCCTTGCAGGTCACAGCCCAGAGCCCGAGGAGCCACGGCGGCAGGGCCCTGCAGAGCGTGGCAGCAGCTCCGGGACACCCAAGCTGATCCAGCGCGCACTCTTGCGTGGCACTGCCCTGCTTGCCTCACTGGGCCTTGGGCGCGACCTGCAGCCACCTGGAGGCCTAAACCGCGAGCGTGCAGAGCCCACACCAGTGCCACCCACACCAGCGCCCACACCCTGCCCCACCCAGCCGCCCTCTGTCCCGCTCATCCGCCTCTCTCCCAAGACGCCTGATGGCCACAGCCAGCACACCCCTGGGCCCCTACTGCTAGACCTTGGTATCCCCTCTGGCCAACCATCTGCCAAGAGCCCCCGGCGAGAGGAGACCCATGGTGAGTGGCTCTAGGGCCCATGCCAAGATGGTGGCCACCGGAGAGGGGAGGAGTGGCTGGGGACTTGTAGGACTATGGGGTGCTGGAGACACTTGTAGAGAGTTGTGTTCTAAGTTCAGCCACGCAGTGGCGGGGTGGTCTAAGCCAGCTGCGAAGTAATAGAAGTGAAGAATAATGACGACAGACTCCCATTGGTTGATTACTGGTATAGTTTGCAGTTCTGTAGAGATTGTCTCATTTAATTATCATAACAAGGTCAGGCATGGCCATATACATCTGTAGTCCTAGCTACTCCAAAGCTGGAGGCAAGAGGATAGCAAATTCAAGGCCAGCCTGGGATACATAGCAAAAAATGATTATCATAACAATCTGTTTAGCACTCTTATGATACCCATTTTTTTTTTCAGTACAGGGTTTTGAACTCAGGGTCTATACCTTGAGCCTTTCCACCAGCCCTTTTTTCTTTTTTTTTTTATTCGTATGTGCATACAATGTTTGGGTCATTTCTTCCCCCTTCCCCCACCCCCACCTCCCTTACCCCCCTAGACCCTTTCTTTTTGAGATAGGGTCTCACAAACTATTTGCCCAGGTTGGCTTAGAACCACGATCTTCCTGATCTCTGCCTCCTGAGTAGCTAGGATGGCAGCATGAACCACCACCCCCAGGCTGACACCCATTTTTTTTTTTTAGATGAAAAATTTTAAAGCACAGAAATTCAGGGGCTCAGGGCTCCTACAGCTTCTTAGTAGCTGGGTAGAATGCCTGTCTGCTCCAGACACCAGGCTCACTTCACAGCAAACAGGTGCACTGTGGAGCACACAAACAGGGCCATGGAAGTTAAGAGTCAAGTAGCTCACTATGAACACAGAGAAGCTGAGGCCCAGAGCAGGGGAGTGCTCTCTGGAGATACCTTGGAGTTGGTGACTGCCTAACTCTGTGCCCCTTCTTCACCCTCATAGGAGGCACCGTTTCACCCCCGCCAGGAATATCACGCTCCGCTCCTGGTACCCCAGGCACCCCACGTTCACCACCACTAGGCCTCATCAGCCGACCTCGGCCCTCACCCCTTCGTAGCCGCATTGACCCATGGAGTTTCGTGTCAGCTGGGCCACGGCCTTCACCCTTGCCCTCGCCACAGCCTGCGCACCGACGGGCACCCTGGACCTTGTTCCCAGACTCAGATCCCTTCTGGGACTCCCCACCTGCCAACCCTTTCCGGGGAGGCCCCCAGGACTGTAGAGCGCAGACCAAAGACATGGGTGCCCAGGCCCCATGGGCACCAGAGGCAGGGCCATGAGTGGGCCAGGCCATTCACCCCCCCACGCTCCAGCTGCCTTAGAGGAGCCACTGCAAACACTGGAATGGGCACCAGGCAGGCCTCTGTAGCTGCCTGGTTTCCCCCAGCGTCCCCACCCCCCCATGGGGGTCAGGAACACTACACTGCACAGGAAACCTTCACACTGGATGGGGGGACCTGCACCCCCCACACCTGCAACCTGTAGGTCCCCCTGACTTACCTGCCCCACTGGGGCCTTATACTGTACCCAACTGGTTGGGAGGACCAGAGCCTGTCTCAGGGAATTGCCCTAGGGGTGGCACAGGGAGGAGGGGAGGTGCAAGGGAGAGGGGCCAGCCTTAGCTGTCACCAGCACTTTTGACCAAGTCCTGCTACTGTGGCCCCTGCCCCAGGGCTTAGTTTCTGGACCCATGCCCTGGGAGTCATTGGGGGGCGGGGCTCTCTGGGTGCCTTCCTGCTGCTCCAGCCAAGGTTAGGGCCTTGGCCTGCCTGGGGCTCCAAAGAAGCCAAATAAACTTGTAAGCTCTCTTCCCAGATTCATCCTGTCATCTTTCTTAGAGGTGAACCAGTGTCCTCATGCCTCTAGCACAACAAGCAGATAGCCTGGGCCAGAATGCCTTGTACCACACCCCTCTCTTGGGACCAAGCCCACTAGCTTAGGTCCATCATTTAGGGCCTATCTCAGCCTCTCTATCACCATATACACTGGCCTTACCTGCCTTCTCACTCTTGCCAGATTTTGTTCACTCTACATCTTTGTGTGTTCAAGTAACTACTTGCTCCCAATCTTCTCTGTTGTCGGCTAGTCCTTGCCTATCCTCTGAGCCCAGCTGCAATGTCACCTTCCCTAGGACATCTTCCCCAGCCACACTGTCCCCACTCTAGGCAGATCTGTGACCTTGACCTCAGAAGCCCATAGCCCACTGGGTGCCAGTGGCTCACACCTGTAATCCTAGCTACTCAAGAGGCAGAAATCAGGAGGATTGTGGTTCAAAGCCAGGCTTGGCAGATAGCTCACGAGACCCTATCTTGAAAAACCCCATCCAAAAAAGGGCTGGTGAAGTGGCTCAAGGTGTAGATCCTGAGTTCAAACTCCAGTACCACAAAAAAAAAGCCCCTCTGGGTGGCATAAGCCCATCCTTCTCCTGGTGAGTGACCACCCCAGCATACTCAACACTGGGGTTCCGTGCTCTCCCACTCCATGTCCTAGGCTAAGATCCTTTCTTGGCCTTTGGAGCTCAGCACTCCTGTGGTTTATGGTTTGCCACCTGCCCCAGCACTCCGTGGCAGCCAGGCCCCATCTATAGTCTAGCAGGTCAGGGAGGCAAGATGGCAGGAGGGAGTCCTCTGTAAGGACTTGACAGTGTCACCTACCCAGAGTACTCTGGGCAATCTGAGTCCCCTCACTTCACTCTCCCTGTCTCTGCTGCTTCCATCTTAAAGCCCACCTTTCTCCTCCCACCCTCTGCCCAGGTCACCATAGTTACACTCAGTATGCCACCGTATTTCCCCCCAACCTTCTCGCAGAGTTCTCCCTGGGCTGCACATGTCTTCAGAGGCCTGTGTCCTTACCTCCTCCCCATGGCCAGCCCCCTGTTCCTCCCACACTCCAGGCTCTTGCCCATTCTCACTTTCAATTGAAATGTCACCTCCTTAGAGGAACTTTCCCAGGGAGCCAGCCCTGCCCTCCTCCCCAGAATGCTCCCATTACCTGAACATTTCCTTCATGGAATTTAGGACAGTGTGAAGTTGACATGTTGCTTTGCTCACAGGTTTCTTGTATGAGCACCAGAGGGAAGAGACCAGTGTCTGTCCTCTTCCCTAGTGTCTGAATGAGTGAAATGGGGTATGTGTGACTGAGTAAACATGAAATCGAATAAATGTGAGACCCTCTCTGAGAGACCTGGGTTTCCCCACCTTGCCTTCACCCTCACCAGAATGCCTTCCTCCACCTACCCCCACTGCCCTAAGCTGTTATGTCTTGCCCAGAAACTGGGAGGAGTACTCCCTACCATACAGCTCACCCCACTTCTGTCCCAGCCACCCACGCAGCACCTTGCAGCCCCGCCCTGCACAGCCCCTCCCAGGTGTCTGTGGTGGAGCAGCCAGCTCCCACAGCACCCAGACTCAGTGTTGTGCTATGGGGGGTCTGAGGCCCTGGGCCCGATACCTGCTTCTGGTTGTGGCCCACCTGCTGGCCATGGGGCTTGGGGCTATGGTGTTCCAGGCTCTGGAGGGCCCTCTAGCACTCCAGCTTCAGGTCCAGCTCAAGGCTGAGCTGGCTACCTTCCAGGCAGAGTATGGAGCCTGCCTGCCACCTGGAGCACTGGAGAAGCTGCTGGGCGCGGCCCTGAAAGCACAGGCCCATGGAGTCTCCAGCCTGGGGAACGACTCAGAGGCCAGCAACTGGGATCTTCCCTCAGCCCTGCTCTTCACTGCCAGCATCCTCACCACCACGGGTAGGCCACCATTCCCAGGCAGCCCAAGAGGAGGAGGCTTCTGAAGCCATGACTCCCTGGGAGCTTTGGAGGGTGTACCCTTCCCCCAGCCCCAAAGTACCAGGCAAAGCCCAGGCTCTATCAGACCTGTCATCACAACTGGGACTCCCCACACCAATGCACCCCAACTGGTGCCTCCACTTCAGCTGCCAGGAGGGGCGTGGCCTCACTAGCCCCACTCCTAGGCATGGTTTAAGACCCAGGAGAGGTGCCCAGACTCCTTGCATGAGGCAAAGCAGGGAACACACAGGGGGTAGATTCTTGGATGGAAGAATATGGGAGGAAGCACAGATCAGGACCACTGACTCAGGAGGGAGTGTAGGAGAAGAAATTCAGATGAGCTGTTAACCAAGGCAAGAAGGAGCAGAGACAAATGTTGAAGGACTTCCTGGCAGCATGTGTTTAGGCCGAGAGAAATAAAGCAAAGGGCTACAGCCCTGGTTTTTTGTTTTGTTGTCCTGCAAACTGTCAAAATTTTTGAATTGAAATCTGTATTTCCAGCTTCTTTTGGAAACTCAGGAAACCAGTATGAATGAATGGCTCACATGACATATTGGCTGGAGCAGCATGGGACTTGTCTGTGGACAGAGCTCATGCTCTCCAGCCCCCCTCAGTCCCCTCCACTCCTTCTTATCTCACATCTGGCCTTGGAGTTTGCAACCTCTGAACCAGCTGACCCTGTTCTCCTAGCATGCCCTACTCTCTCTCAAACCCCTCCGTGCCTTGCTTATGCTTCTCCAGCCCCAAATGCCTTCTCTTGTGAATTTGGCCCTTTGCAGTCCTTCGTGTTTCCTACTCACCTTCCCCACCATAAGTCAGGGCCTGGGCAGACTCAGATTCCAGCTCAAGGCCTGGCACACAGGAAAATATGAAAGAGTGGGTGACATTCCACCGGTTGTGATTTGGTAGTATTGGTTAAGGGCAGAGCCAGGAATCAGGAATCTCTCAGAAAGTCAAGAGCAGGCTGGCTCAATGGTATAGAACTTGCCGAGCATGCTAAGGCCTTGGGTCCATCTTAAGCACTTAAAAAAAAAGAGAGAGAGATGAAAGAATGAAACCCAGGCTCTCTGTATGGCAGAGAAAGAAGGTGAGAGAGAGAGAGAGAGAGAGAGAGAGAGAGAGAGAGAGAGAGAGAGAGAGAGAAAGAAAGAAAGGAAAGAAGGAGGGAAGAAGGGAGAGAGGAAGAAGGAAGGGATCTCTATGTCAGGAGAGCAGTTCTGACTTGTCCCAGCTACAAAAGGCCTTCATCCTTTCATTTTCCATAAAAGACAAGAGTGGCCAGAGAGATTAAGGGACTCACCCAGGATACCCAATGAAGGAAGAGCAGACCCTAATGAGTTCATGCAATTTGGGCCACCAGAGGGCAGCCTTCTGCAGAGGCCTAGGAGAACAGGAGAGCCCCAGCAGGCAATCTACTCAAGAGCTCAATGCCGGCTGTCTTTCTTCTCCAGGCTATGGCCACATGGCCCCACTATCGGCAGGTGGGAAGGTTTTCTGTGTGGTCTACGCAGCCCTGGGGCTGCCAGCCTCCCTAGTACTTGTGGCAGCCCTGCGACATTACCTGCTCCCTGTACTCAGCTGTCCAAGTGCCCGGGTAATAGCCCGCTGGCAGCTGACACCAGCCGGGGCTGCACTGCTGCAGGCTGCAGGACTGGGTCTGCTGGTGGCCAGCGTCTTCATGCTGCTGCCAGCACTGGTGCTGTGGGGTCTACAGGGTGACTGCAGCCTGCTGGAGGCCATCTACTTCTGTTTTGGCTCACTCAGCACCATCGGCCTGGGGGACTTGCTGCCCGGGTGGGACCGCAACCTGCATCCCGTGATTTACCACCTTGGCCAGCTCTCACTTCTTGGTGAGTCCAGGGAGGAGGGCAGAGGAGCCTGGACTATGACTCCCATAAACTAGGAGGCTGCCACTTACAAGTGGAAGGGCATGGGAGAGGAGCTGTAGTCCAGTGAGCCCTGGTGTCAGTACTAAGTTTGGTGTATGCCAGTGTCGGTCAGCTCACTGGGAAGTGGTTGGGGAGTATCATGAGCACCCCAACAGCAACCTCTCCTCCCCAGGTTACTTGCTTCTAGGACTCCTGGCCATGCTGCTGGCCGTGGAGACCTTCTCTGAGCTGCCACAAATCCGTGCCATGGTGAAGTTCTTTGGATCCAGTGGCCCTATGACAGCAGAGGACCAAAGTGGCATCCTAAGCCAGGATGAGCTGGATCTGAGCACCCTACCTCCTGCTGTCCCCACCTCAGAACAGGATGAAGCTTGCTGATAGGAGTCAGGAGACGGACTTCAGCTCCTTTAAGATGAAGGAGGCTGAGGCCATCAGAAGTGCCCGAGGAAGAACATGGAGATGGGAGGGTGTGTGGATGAGGACCTCAGGAAATAATGCTAATAAAAAAAAAAAAATGGGTTGTCTAGCATGTGTGAGGCCCTGGATTAGCCTCCCCCACAAAATAAAATGAGAACTAGTCAACTGTTTTGTTTTTTGATAGGACTTGTGTTTGAACTCAGGACTTTGAGCTTGCAAAGCAGGCTCTCTAGCACTTGAGCCACACCTCCAGTCCATTTTGCTCTGATTATTTTGGAGATGGGGTCTTGGGAACTATTTACCCTGGCTGGCCTCCAACCACCATCCTCAGGATCTCAGCCTCCCAAGTACCTAGGATTGCAGGCTTGAGTCACCAGCGCCCGCTTGGACTGTTTTCTTTCCAAATGAATTCCTCAGCGCGCATCTGGGAACTGCCATGCTGGCCTGGTCCTGTTTATGATGGCAGAGTCATCATTATCTGCCTAAGTCCCACCCTCTTCCGCCTACTGAAGCCCAAGTTGTCCTGAAAAAGGGCTGCACTTGTGTGTCCTTGTCCAACTTTATTGCTAGGGAGGCACAGGAAGAGGAGGGCGCGGGCGACAGTCTCCACGACATCCCTGTGCGGTGGTGGCCGGCCAGGGCCCTGCCATCGGAGACCGAGACGGGCTGGGCAGGCCGCCGCGAACACTCGTGCACACACTCATACGGACAAATAAATAGGGCCTGGGGTCTGCCCCCGCCCGGTGAAGGGACGCAGCGGCCCTGCGCGGCATCCCGCAGGGCCCGGTTCTCCGCAGCGCAGCGCAGGCCCGGGGCGCCGATCCCGCACCAGCTGCCGGGAGGGAGGCGGGGACGGCGGAAGGCGGCGGCCGGCCCAGGCGGGCTCAGCTCAGCGTGCAGCGTTCGCGCCGGCTCAGCTGCCGGCTCAGCTTGCGGCGTCGCTGCTCCAGGCCGCGCTCCAGCCGCTCGTCCTCCTCCAGGGCGCTGGGAAGGAAGGGGTTCGAGTCAGGCCCAGCCCTCCGGGAGCCCTGGGGCCTCCCCAAGTCCCAGCGCCCTCCCGCTCCCACTCACATGCGCTCCTTGTGGTCCAGGTCCCGCACCAGCTCGTCCCGCTGGTTCACTAGCGACACCAGCTCCTCCAACAGGAGCTGCTCCCGATGCTGCTGCGCGACCGTTTTCTGCCAATCTGAGAGCAGAGGAGCCCGAGTTAGGAGGTGCCCACCCTGGCTCTGTCCTGCCTTCTGCCCCTCCGGCCCCAACTCCCACCTTCTATGGCCAGCATGGCCCGCAGCTCTCGGCTTAGCAGCTCGAACCTCCGCTCCAAGTCCTGCTCCTCGATGCTGGGAGGCAGGGGTGCCAGGTCATGAAAAGGAAGACAGGGAGGGAGTGCCCAGGGCTCTGACCACTCTGCGTCCCTTTCACACCTCTCTGCAGAGGTTTTATAGAGGCTGGACCGACCTCAGCCCCGTCCCCATTCAGAATTCTTTTTTGTTCCTACTGGTCTTAAGTTACTGGATATGCTGTCTTCCTCACCCTAGCCCACCTCCCTCTTTTAAAATAAGAAACAGCTGGTGGGGTGGCTCAAGCAGTAAGAGCGTCTGCCTAGCAGGCTTGAGGTCCTGAGTTCAAACACCAGTGCCGCCAAAAAATAAAATAAACAATCCAGAGGATCATTTGGAAGGAAAGAGTGGACTAAAATTGCTCTGGAAAATTATCCAAAATGCAAAAGGGAGGCAAAGCCACCTTTCCACGTAGGACGATTGAGGCAACTATCTAGAGGGTGGCTTGTGACCCCCGCTCAGGGTCTCGAATCTCTCTGGCCCTGCTTTCTTTACTGTAAAATCACAGAGTCAAACCAAAGGGCGTTATCCTTGCCCTTCCTGGTCATAGTTTGCTCAGGGCTTCAGTTTTCTCATTAATGTAGGACCTGTTTAAGAAGTATAAATTTTATACAGTAAGTCAGAACAAAAAATAAGGTGGCTAAGTAATGATTTTTCAAAAAAGATCTCTACAGAAGGAAGAAAGCCGTGAATAAATTCTAACCAAAGCAAGCAAAGGTTCTGTCTTCAACCAACTCTGATAGCTGGGGGCGGGGCCTGGGTAGGGGGCGGGGCCTGGGCCGGCGAGGCGGGGCCTGGGCCGGCGGGGCGGGGCCTGGGCCGGAGAGGCGGGGCCCTGGGCTGTGAGTCTGGCACTCACAGCAGTTGCAGCTGGTCCTGTCTCCGTATGAGAGCGTTTTTCTTGTTGACCAGGGTGAACCACTCCTGGATCAGCATCTCCTCCTGTAGCTTGTTGGCACCTGAATCAAGCCAGGACAATCACCAGGACTGCCTCCTGTCAGAGCAGAGCAGCTGGGGTTTGGGGAAGGGGGCTTGCTTCCTTGTGGGATCCCAGAAGCCTGAGCTATGTGCCTCCAGCAAGCTTCTTCCCCACTCAGGGTTAGCATGCCCATCTGTAAAATGGGCACGATGGCTCAGGAGGAGCTGCAGGGCTAGGCAGATCTGGTGGGTGAGGAGTGGATCCCGGGTGCCAACCCCACCTGATTCCATGAGGCTCCTCAGCTGCGTCTCCACCTCGGCCGCCCGCCCATCTATCTGCCTCTGCTCCTGTTCCAGGGCCTGCAGCTCTGCGCACACGTACTGACTTGTGTCCTGGAACCGTTGCTGAAAAGGGAGGCAGGGTGGGCTCAGCCCAGGCCCTGCCCAAGAAGTAGCCATGTAACAGTTCTCTCCTCCTAGCCCTCCTTACCAGTCCAGCCTCCTCTCCTGGACTTGGGGGTGGCTCCTCCGAGGGGGGACTTCCACCTGCAGACAGAGACCAAGCTAAGGCTCCTGCAAGCAGTACATGGCCCCAGGAAGTCCCCAGCCTAGGATTTGTGAGCAGCTTGAGCTAAGCTGGGTCACACCCGCTCCAAAACTACTCACCAGGGGGCTGCTGCAGGCCTGTGGCTGTGGGTGTGCCAGGGGCGGGGCTGGGGTCAGGGCTCAGGACTTCCTGTGGAAAAAGAGGTCACTAAAGCTGGGAGGAACTCCTGACAGCCCAGCCTGGGGCCAGCCAGAGCATCTCACACATAGGAGAGGCAGGCAGGTTTTTCAGAACCAGACCCTGCCTGCCCAACCACTTCTCCAGTGCTCCTCCTGGGGTAAAGTCCCTCCTGAAGCAAAGGCCAGGCCTTCACTCCCCGGCCTGTGGTCCTGGGCCCATCCACACCCACCTCTCCACCTCCAGGTCCTCCTTCCTGGGGCTGGGCTGGTAACTGGGACCTCACAGGGTGAGTCAGTGGTGAAAGGCTGGTAAGTGCCTGGCAGGAGCCCCTCCTTCCCCCCTCTCACCCATTTCTCCACGGAGCCCACGCAGGCCACCTGACTCCTGTCAGTGCTGGCATCTCCATCATGGAGAGGGTCTTTCAAGGTGCTACTGAGTTGCTTTGATAAGGTCCTTATCTCTGGAGCTAGGCAGTCCTGAGCCAGGCCAAAAGGGGGCGCCTCCCGCATTATCAGTTTCTATACCTAGAGCCAGCAGTGTTCCTCATAGACCACCAGAACCAGACAGGTTGACTGAACCTGAGAATTTTACGCTGAAAGCTCCAAGGCTGGATCCGGATGTGCCCCACTCCCAGGGACTTGCTGGGACTGTCTTCCCTGGAGGCCCCCAACTTTTGGCTCAGCTGACAGACTGCCCCCCTCCTTGACAGATGCTGCTCTGGTCACCCTTCTGGGCCACAGGATAGGGAGAAGAGTTTAAGTCTACCCACTGAGAGGCAACTCTGGACAACTCTGGATCAGGTGCCATCCTCTCTGGTTTAGGTCAGTGTGGTTTTCTTACCAGGCAGGCACTCTACCACTTGAGCCACTCCACCAGCCTGGCTTTGTTTTTGAGATGGGATCTCTGGAACTATCTGCCAGAGCTGATTCTGCCTTGCAGATAGCTAGGATTACAGGTGTGAGTCACTGGTGACTGGCTTCCACACCCCTTCTTAACCCCCAGACTCACTGTCAAGGCCTCAGCTCCCCTCCCATCAAGAGCCCCAGAAGGATGCTTGCTATCCTCTCTTCACAGTGATGAACTTTCACTTCCCTGAAAAGCTTCCTCAGCCCTGCTCAGCTGCCTCCTGCAGAGGCCCCTCAGGCTCATACCCCTCCTTCCAATCGCTTCTGTTTTTTTCTTTTTTTTTTTTTTGCGGTACTGGGGATTTGAACTCAGGGCCTTCACCTTGAGCCACCCCACCAGCCCTATTTTTGTGAAGGGTTTTTCGAGATAGGATCTCAGCAATTATTTGCCCAGGTTGGCTTTGAACTGTGATCCTCCTGATCTCTGCCTCCTGAGTAGGTAGGATTACAGGCGTGAGCCATCAGCACCCAGCTCTGTATCCTCCTTGAACTTGAAGCCTAAGGAAGCTGGCCTTGCTCCCCCCGCTGGGCAGAGGATGTCCCAGGGCCTCCCCAGGACAGCTCTGACTCCACCCCCTCGTCATGCTATTGGCTCTGCACATCTCCCTGAGAGGCAGGGCCTAGCTTAGCACTTTACACATACTGGTGCATTTATCTTTTCTGACAACCCCATGAGGCAGGGACCAACCCCGCATTACAGAGAAAGAAACTAAGGGTCAGAGACAAAGCTCATTCAGGGCCTAGTCTAGGGGCCAGGGTTGTCTAATCCCCCCAAAAAATTCCCCCCTCACACTGGGCTTGTTTGTGACCTTATATGTAGAATGGCAAGAAATCCCAGCCTGCGTGACCTCGCAGTTGCAGGGCTCCAAAAGGCATCTGGGGGAACATAAAGCAACCTTTTTTGACACTCTGCATGCCACCTTGCAAAGGACTTTCATGCCTTTGCTCGTCACCTTCAGGGAAAGAGCACAGAGAAGTTAAGTGACTCACCCAGGGTCACACAGTGTTGGCCCCAATAGAGGGGGTCATTTAAGAGATCAGACTCAGAACCTGGGTTTATAATGTACTGTGGATGATTTGCTTCTGCTTTGTCCTGCCTTAGTGTTGCAATCTCATTTGACTATGAAATGATTTGCAGTCTTACTTCTGTAGAACACTGGCTATAGAGAATGCTATTTTTTTGTATTGAACTTTACCTTGATATATGTATATGGATGTATGCATAAAATCTTAAGACATATGTACTTGTATAACATTTAATTTTATACAGTACTAAAATTCACCGTATTAAAAAAAAAGAACCTGGGTTTACACAGGCATCAGTGCCCTTTGCCTCTTCATTTTCCTGAGCTTCAGTGTTCCCATCTGTAAAATGGGGTGCTAATTCTTCCTTAGAAGGGGCACTGTGAGGAGTCAAGAGCTAGCCCTACACAGAGGGCCCAAATGACAGAGCAGACAGACAGGAGGTAGAGAAAGCTAACCTCAGCAACAATTGAGCTTACTCATGCCAGTCTTGATGGGAATTCCAATGTTTCTTCCTCATGTCTGACCCAAATTCCTCTTTCTATACCCTGATGTATGGCCCCTCCTCCAGGGAGCCCTGCAAGGCTGCATGGGCAGGCACCCAGCTCTTTTCATGGAGCTGCTTCTGCCCCACCCCAGCTTCAAGGTGCCTGACCTCATCCTACTCCAGGTCCTTGGGAGCTTCCAAGGGTGTGACCAGGCCAAGCCACCTCTCACTGGGGGCAAGAGGCAGCCAATGAGGAGTCTTCAAATATCTCCTGTGGGGCAGGGGCTGGAGAAGATCTTGGAAAGAACAGATGCTGGGAAGTGGAGCATCTTTAGGATTGAACGAACCCCTGACATGAATTAACTAGAAGAGCTAGAGGTGGCTGTATCCCACTGACACCTGCCTACCATGTCTCCTAAGGGCAAGGCCTCTGATGCCCTCTGTCTCATCCACAGTCTCAACCCTGTGCCTCTGACCCTACACTCAGTGCTCCTGCTCTCGGCCTGGCCTCACACACCATCTAGGGCCTTTTGGGACATGACTGGCAGTTTCTTAAAGGAACCCTTAACTTTCCTGCTGTCACATTTTTGCTTGCACAAGTCCCTCCACTTAAGAATCACTATCTGCCAGGCATCGGTAGCTCCCACCTGTAACTCTAGCTACTTAGGAGGCAAAGATCAGAAGGATCGAGGTTCGAAGTCAGCCCCTGGGCAAACAGCTTTTACTATCTCAAAAAAACCCAACACACAAAAGGGCTGGTGGAGTGGCTCAAGGTGTAGGCCCTGAGTTCAAATCCCAGTACCACAAAAAAAAAAAAAAAAAGATTCACTATCCTCTCCCACTTTTCACCTGGGAAAACCCGCCATCTTCTCACTAGCTCAGGGCCACTGCTTCCTCCAGAAAGTCTTTCCAGATTATTCCCTCCTTTCCTCAAATGGCAGTGCAAGCCCGAGACCCTGGGTTCAATCCCCAGTACTGCAAACATAAAAATGAAGTGCCTCCCAGCATGCAGCTGAGTCCCGCTGCTCTGAAGCTGTCACCCTTGGACTGGAAGCTCAAGCAGTAGAGCGCTTGCCTTGCAAGTGCAAAGCCCTAAGTTCAAATCCCTGTACTGTAAAAAAAAAAATCAGAATCTGACGTTGCCACTCCCACACCAGTCCTGACTCAACTCCGTGAGTTGTCCCCACTCTCGAGAGCTGCAGGGGCGGGTCACTCACCGCAGCCCCGGCTCCTGCGGCTCCCGAGTCCGGCTCATCCACCGAGAAGGAGTTGCTGTTCCGCAGCCGCGATCGCCTCTTCTTTAGCAGATCGGCGTCGCGCACGTGGGAGAAGGAGCCGTGCGCTCTGGGCGGAGGCACCGGCCCGGCCTCCCCGCTGACCGACGGCCGTCTCAGCTTCACGCCAGCCCCACCGCCCGGCGCCCCCGCCCCGTTCACCAGCCCCTGGTCGGGGGCCACGGGGGCCACGGGCGCCCGGAATCCGGGGCCGTCGGTCGCGGCCTCTGGGGGGCGCGCTTCCCCGGTGGCCTCGGCCTCGCCGTCCTTGGTGGCGGAGCCCGCGTCCTTGCCCCGGGAGGGCTCCTTGGGTGCCGCCCCCGGCCCTCGGTTCGCGGCCTCCTTGGGCTCTTTGGGCGCCTCGGCCCCGTGCTCGCGCAGCCGCTGCGCCAGGCCGTCGGCGTCCAGGTCGTCCGGCTGGCTCGGCTGGGCGCTGCCCACGCGGTACGTGCCGGCGCCGCCACCGCCCTCCAGCTGCACCAGCTGCAGCTCCTGCCCGGTGCAGAAGGCGCGGATCTGGCATAGGTACGTCATGACGATGAGCTTGTCGGGCACGGCCAGCAGCACCATGTCCGCTGGCTCCAGCAGTCGCGACACGCCCAGAGCGGCGAAGCCATCGAAGGCCTAGGAAAAGTGTGCGCTCTGGGTCAGCGGAGGCGTCCCACGTTACTCAGCAACACTGCAGACCCAAGCTGGACACCCAGGGAGTCCCCGCAACTTGCGTGCCAGCGTTTGCCTAGCAACGCCTTCACCCTCCGATGGAGGGAAATCTAGCAACAGGGCCTGCCTTAGTGTTACCTAGCAACTGCACTGTACACCCCTAACCAAAAGGTGATACTGGGGAAAAAAAAAGAAATCTAGGAGGAAGATAATGCTTTTTAAAAAAAGCAAAAAACACCAGAACAAAACTAAGAAAAACAAATCATTTAATGCTCAAAATGCTCAAAAGTAAAACGTAGGGTAAAAACATGCCCCAAAGCCAGCCCGCCCCCCCCATCCCCCCTTCTAGGTCAATTCTCAGGCCCAGAGCCTGGCTCCTGACCCTTTCCCTCTAGCCCTGACTCTCTCCCCATCTCACCTGCTTGTTGTTCTGTTTGATGCTGAGCGGGTCGAGCGAGGTATAGTCGCTGTGGACAGAGTGCTGGTCAGAGGTGGATGGGACCGCCCTCCCTTAAGGAGGCCCCACTCATCCCCACCCTCCTGCAGCTCACATTTTGTCTGGGTGGAATCGGTGTAGGATAGCACAGAAGGCCAAGCCGTTGCGCCAGGATGTGGTGAAGTTGGTGATTCGGACACCACGGTAGCCAGCAGTGACCTCCTGGCACCACTCCAGCAGGGACTGGCTGGAGCTGACCAGGACAGGCGGTGCCTGGGGACACACGGGTGGACTTAGAAGATATACTCTAGGTATCTGTGCCTTTTGCCCCTTGGGGAAGTGCTAGGCCTGGCACAAAACAGCCCCAGGTCTGAGTTAACAGAGGTCTTCAGAGACCATAAATCAGGGCCTTGGGGCCAGGCAAGAGTTTCTAGCTGGGGGGATTATCTGCCAAGGTCACCTAAAGGTCAGTGGACCCCAGGCAAGATCAGAGGTCACCAGCAGCCACGCCTCAAGGTCAGCCCAGAAAATCAGCTTAGGGGTGTCCAGCTCCATGCGGCCCAGGGAAGCCAGAGTGGGAGAGCCAAGGCATCCTGAGGGAGGAGGGGATGAGGGGGCTTCTTGAAGCTGAGCCCCCCCCCCCATCCTATCCCATCTCAGTCCACCAGGTGGGTCCATGCAGAGTTGCTGTTCGCTCAGCCCCAGGTTAGTGGGAAGAAGCAGACTGGGCCCTCAGCGGCCCCCATCCCTACCTGGCTGCCCGGCAGCCTCCTGTCCTCTTCAGGCTCCTCTGGGGAAGAAGCCCCGAGGGGCCTGGGCTCCCCAGCCCCTGCCCCACTGGCTACTTGTGCTTCTGTCAGGTTGGCCTCTGGGAGGCTTCCCTCAGCTTCTTTCCCCTTCTCGGTTCCCAAGACCCCAGACTCTGCTTCCTGGGTCTCAAAAATACCAGATTTGCTCTCTGGGGGCCCTAAAACCCCCATCTCTGTTTTCTGGGCCCCCAAAGCCTCGGATTTGGCCTCTGATACATCCAAAGCCCTAGCCTCTGCCTCCTGGACCCTCAAAACTTTAGTCTCTACTTCTTGTACTCCTGAAACCTCTGCCTCTGCTTCCTGGGACTCTAAAACTCTTTGCTTAGTAACTGGGACTTTTAAAGCCTCATATTTGAGAGCTCCCCAGACTCCAGTCTCCTGGACCCCCAAAATCTCAGCCTTTGCCTCCTCAGTCTCTGAAGCTGTAGTCTCTGTCCCTTGGGATTTCAGTACCTCAGCATCTGCCACTCCAGTCTCTGGTCCTGAGAGCCCTGCATCCTGCAACTCTCTCTCTCGGTCCCTGGCTAGCTCAGCTTCTATCACTGGAACTTCTGAACTCTGAGCTGCAGTCTCCTGGGCCCCCAACATCTCAGCTTCTACTGTCCCAGTTTCTACCACTGAAACTTCTGAGCTCCCCACTCCTGTCTCTTTGGCCCCTGCTAGCTCGGATTGTATCCCCGGGGCTCCTGAACCCCTAGAAGCCATCTCCTGGTTCTCCAATATTGCAGTTTCTACTATTACAGTCTTTATCTCCAGAATTCCTGAGTCTCCTGCCTCTGTCCCCTGGGTCCCCAATATCTCAGCTTCTACTGTCCCAGTTTCTACCACTGAAACTTCTGAGCTCCCCTCTTCTGTCTCTTGGGCCCCTATCTCAGATTGTATCCCCGGGGCTCCTGAACCCCCAGATGCTATCTCCTGGCTCCCCAATTTCTCAGTTTCCACTATTTCAGCTTCTGTCCCTGGAATCCCCTGAGCTCCTACCTCTGACTCCTGAACCCACAATATCTCAGACTCTGCCATCTTTGCTTTTATCCCTAGAACCCCCGAACCCTCAGCTGCTATCTTCTGATTTCCCAATATTTCAGTCTCTGTACCCCCAACCTCTGTCTCTGATACCCCAAAACCTCCTACCTCTGTCTTTTGGGCCCCCAATATCTCAGATTCTGATATCTCAGCTTTCATCCTCAGTACCCTGAGACCCCCAGATATCTCCTGATTCCCCAGTATCTCAATCTCTGCAGAACCCCCAGCCTCTGTTTGTTGGGTCCCCAATACCTTAGACTCTGCCATCTCAGTCTCTGTCCCCAATACCCCTGACTCCACTGTCCCAGCAGCCTCTGACTCCAGGACCCCTGATCTTGCTGCTTTTGTCTCTTGGCCCCCCAAATCTCAGCTTCTGTTGTCCCAGTCTCTATTTCTGGAGAGTCTGTTCCCCTCTTCTGTGCCCTCAATTCCTCCCACTGTGTCAGCTCAGTCTCTGTTCCTAGGAGCCTTGAATCCTCTGCTTCTGCCTCCCAGGTCCTCAGATCCTGAGATATCACCCCCTCATCAGCTGGTGATGGGGTCCCCTGAAACCTGCTCACCTGGGGCCCGGTGCTTGCTGCTCCAGCAGAGGGGCCCTGCTCCAGGCCTGTCCTCCCAACACCAGAGGCTCCGCCCCTCACCTCTGCACCCTCTCTTTCCTGACCTGCAGCAACCCTGGCCCCTCTGAGGTTACTGAAATGCCCAGAGTGCTCTGCAGTCTGTGTCAGGGGTGGGCTCAGGCCTGTGGGAGCCTCTTCCAGGGTCTTGACCCCCATCTTCCCTGGAGAGCCCCTTGGTGGAGCCTCAAGAGTTGCCCTGAGTCTTGACTCAGGTATTAGCCCTGCAGCCCCCGGTCCCTCCATGGCCACATGTCTCACCTTTGACCTCTGCTCAGCATGTACTTGACTACATTCTGAACTCTCTTCAGCCTCCCCAGCTGTGACCACTGACTTCTTAGTGTTCACCTCTCTGACTCCTGCCTGTTGCTCAGTGTCCTCCCCACTAGTCTCTGGTCTGTCCCCAGTGTCCCCCTCTTCATCCTTGGATCCCTGTCCTCCCAGTGTGTCTCTAGAGCCTGCATCTTCAATGTCTGGGCCTGGCCTGGCTCCCTGGACCTCGGGCCCTTCCTGAGGGCTTCTCCGGGTCTGGGTCTCCCCAGAACCCACTCCTTCAGGGGGAGCCTCTGAGGCATTGGGGACCTCATTCCCCGCTTGGGGGACTGGGGACAGGGGAACGTCAGAGCCTTTCCGGAGCCGAGGGGCCGGGGTGGGGACCATGTCCTGGCCTGGCTGCCTTGAGGACCTGAAGAAAGAGCAGGAGGGAGTGTTTGGGGGGCTTCTGTAGGACCTATCCTCGGTCCCACCCCCCACCCTTCAGACTGCTAGGGCACTGGAAGCAGGGGAGTTCCTCACGGTGGGTGGGGCTGGTTCCACAGAGCTCACCTTGTCTCCAGTGGGGTTCCTGGGGGCCTTGGGGCCTCAGGCCCCTCCTGGCCCCCAGCTACAGCAGCCGACTCTGACCCCTGGCCCCGGGAGGCCCTGGCCGGGGGTGCAGGAGCACTCACAGGGGTGGGGCTGGTATCCTCAGAACTAGAAGGGCTGGCAGCTAAGCAGGGGATGAGAAGGGGAGCTGAAAACTGGGCCCTGTGACCCTGGGTCCAGTCCCCAACCTCAAATCCCAGCCTAGACCTCACCTGCCTGTTGGGGCTGTACTGGGCTCTCATCCTCCTCACAAAGTGTCTTCAGCTCTCGAGGGGGATCTGGAGGTGGGGGTGGTAGAAGGGGCAAAGTCAGCCCATGGCAGGGCCCTGCGGGTTGGACCCCCGCCCCCCAACTAAAAACAGAGCCTACCTGGGAAACAGCCCAGCCTCAGGGCACTGCCCCCACCTGCTAGAAGAGATAGGCCCACAAATGGAGGGAGAGAGGGAGGGAGGGAGACAGAGAGAGAACCACAAGGGCAGACAGAAAAAAAGCTTGAAGATGCAGAAGTGATGGAGAAGGACCCTGGTGATCAGGGACAGGGTGACTGAACTGCAACTCACTCTTGAGCTTTTGACTTCTCAGGTCAGGTAGGAGCTGGACAGGAAGCTACCCCAGGAGTAAAAGGGCCAGGGACATGAGGGGAATTGGGAACCCATCCTGCAGGACTAAACCAAAGACCAAGGCCATCACGGGACCAAGTTGGGACAATCAGGGTTGCTGGGCAGTAATGAGCTCCCTTCACTGGGCATGCATGAGCTGGTCCTGCCCCAGCACAGACAGTGGCTTGTGGCCCAAGTCGCCTCCACCCCCTATGCCTTGGCAGTCTCAACCCATGCCAGGCTGTGAGCCCACACCTGGCTGGGGGCCTGGGGCCCCGGCCTCAGGGGCTCCCAGGCCATGAGCCTCATCCTCGTCACTCTCAGCAAAGTCATCCAAGTTGCCCACATCACTAGGCTTCACGCTCATGAGACTGGCCAGACTCTGCATGTCATCATCCCTGGAGGTTAGAGGTCATGGATGAGGGTTGGGATCAGAGATCACAGGCCAGGGCCAAGGAGGGCAGGTGGGCACTCACGTGGCACGGCCCTCCCGCAGCAGCACCCCAGAGAGGGTAAGGCTCAGCTCAGCCTGCACCACCTTCACTGACTTGGGCTTCAGCCGCAGGCGCAGTGGAACCTGGGCAGGCACAGGCCCAGCATGGCGGGCCAGGTCCACCTCAGCTGTAGCTAGCACCTTCCGCTGCCCCTTGGACTCCTTGGGTGCAGAGGATAAGGGAACAGAAGGGGAGCATCAGTGCTGCCCTGAAGTCCCCAAGACCCCAGACCCCAGCCCACTTCAGCACTTACATTCTCAATAATAAATGTCCACTCTTTAGTTTCATACTGGTCCACATGGGGGTCCTAGGGAGAGGGACATGGTGAGTCCAGGACTTCCAGAAGGCAGTGCAGGGAGATGGGCCTATGCTAGCTCAGGAAGTGCCAATGGGGCCTTCACACATGCTGTTCCTCTCCCCCTCCCCCTGCCACCCCCTAGGGTTGTGTCCCATCTTCTGATCCCAGCTGCTTCTGCTGGAGTGCTGCCCCCTCTAAGAAGACCTCCACTTTGCTGAGTAATCCTCCCCATAATTCTTGATCCCATTGATAATTAATTCCCTATTTGGACGGCAGCCTACCAGGGGAGCCCAGTGACTACCCACCACTACAACCGCCTGTCCTTTCCTGTTTTAGCCCAAGGGCTGGAGACTCACCCTGTACAGGGTCACAGAGATGTCCACATTCTCCGGCACCATCCACACCACGGTGCCCCGGTATGGGTTCTGGATGCCAGGTTGCCAGCTGTGGGCCTATAAGGGACACACTTATAGAGGAGGACTGTAAGAGTCCTCCTCTGAGTTTTAACTCCCCCCCCCACTTCCATGCCCTTATCTCCAAACTTGACCCCTTCCTCCGCTCCCCACTGTGGATTCTGATATGAACCTGAACTCACCCCTCAGCCCCATCAGGACCTTCCCCGTGCCCCATCCCCAACTTGGCCTCCCACTTGCCATAGTTCCCCACCTTGGAGCAGACGCGTCGGTTCCGGCGGGTCCATACCACCACCAGCTTATCCGGCTGCCTGGGGGTTGGGGGAGGACTATTTGGTCAGGCCCACCCCAGCCTCCCCATCTCCTTCTCTTCCTCCCAGCTCCCTCAGGGTCTTCCTTCTACCCTAGTCCCTTCCCTAAAGGAGAGGACCTAGGCAGCCTCTTATCTGGGGCCACAGGGTGCAGGGTGGGGCTGCTGAGGCAGGGTGGGGCCACCAAGGCAGAAGGGCAAAGGCCTGGACAGTGTGAGCTGACAGGAACAATGAAGAAGTTAGCAAGAGGCAGAGACAGGCACACACAGACGCAGAGACACGGAGAGAGACAAAGGCTTGGGATAAAAAAACCCAAAAAACTCCATTCGTGAGCAAATATTTGTGGAGTGCTTCCTATAAACCTAACCCCTTTTGGGACAGAACAAAGACATGATCCTTTGGGACAGACAGAGACACGACCCTTTTGGCACTGGTAGCTCACACCTATAATCCTAGCTACTCAGGAGACAGAGATCAGGAGGATCATGGTTTGAAGACAGCCAGGGCAAATAGTTCAGGAGACCCTATCTTGAAAATACCCCCTTCAAAACAGGGATGGTGGAGTGGCTCAAGGGGTAGAGCACCACCTGCCTTGCAAGCCTGAAGCCTTGGAGTTCAAACCTCTGTACCACCAAAAAAGTTTTAAAAAGACCCTTCTGGGGCTGAGGTGGGGGAAGAGTGCAGTGCAAGACAGAAAATAAATTAAGGAACTAACTTCAGGGCTGGCAGAGTGGCTTAAGCTGTAAGGGCACGTGCCTGGCAAGCATGAAGTCCTGAGTTAAAGTCCTAGTGTCACCAAAAAACAAGCTAACTTCAGGGGGATGTGGGAGAGTCCTGGGATCTCCTTCAGATGGGGTGCCTATGCAGAGGTTTGAGTGAGGGAGCATGAGAACAGGCTCCAGACAGAGGGAAAGGCAAGTGCAAGGGGCTGAGACCGGAGGAGGGATGAGAGAGGCTTGGTGTTAGATCTCCCCCGCACAGAGGGCCTGCTAGGCCCAGCACTTTGCTGAGCTCAAGGGCCCCAAGGAGGGTTGGTCAGCCAGGACTCCTGCTTCCCCAAATCCAGAGCCCTGGACCACAGCTTTGCAGAGAGATGATGACAGTGGTGCATAGCAAAAGTCAGGAAGACTTCAAGGCAGTGACATCTGAACTAGACAGCAAATGGTAGGCAGGCTCAGAGGAGATGCAGATGTGTGGAGGAGGCAGAAACAAAGCAGAGAGACAGAAAGCTGAGCAGGGCCTTTCCCAGACACGGAGCTGACACGTGGTTGGGCCCAGGGGAGAGGGCCTCTTGGGGCTAGTGTCCAACTAACGCCCAAGAGGGTGGGGTTGGTTGCAGGGAGGATTAGGCAAAGGCAGCACCGAAAACTCTCCCTGCTTGTTCCCAGCCCCAAACCAGCATGTTCGGGTCATGTCGGGGCCAGCTCACTGCCCCTCTGAAGGCCAAGCCAAGATAGGTGGTTCTCCTGTTAACCCTTGAGGATAGTGAGCCTCAGAGAAGCTGGCCAGGCAAGGTCACACAGCAGAGTCTAGAGCCTCTGACCTAGAGCTGCCTTTCCCAACGCCAAACTGCAGGCATTCGCCCAGCAAGAGAACATCTTCCCAGAAAGGGGAAGTGGCCAGGGGGTGCCTGGGGAGGGTGGGCCTGGCTTGGCAGCCTGACTCAGGCCAGCCACGCCCTCCTGGGGAGCCTCAACCTGGGCAGGGGCAGCTTCCTGTCCTGAGCTCCAGGCTAAGAAGCTCAGAAGTCCCTCCCACTGCTGCCTGTGACTCAGCCCCATTGACACTGCCTGTGCTCTGGGCCTGGCCTGCTCACCAGGACCATGCCCAGCGTCTTGCTGGCCTCACCCAGGATGCTGGGGCAGAAGCCAGAGGCCAGAGTTCAAGTGCTAGCTCTGTGTTGTGTTACCCCAGCCAGTCCTCATCCTTTCTGGGCCTCTGTTGAGTAAAGGGCCCACTACCAGGCCTGGTGTGAGTAAAACCAGAAAGATAGTGGCTGCCCCAGGACTCTCAGTCTCTGCCCACTCCTCTTCTTTTAGACCCCATAGTCCTTTCCTACCCCAGTCCTTCCCCTTGGGAACCTAAATTTAGCCCCGCCTGGCGGGTGAGGCCCCCACAGCTGTGCCCTAATCCGGTCAAGGGAAGCTGACACCAGTGAGCACATATATTTAGGGTGTGACGCAGGGGCCGGGCAGCTGCGGTAGGGGGCATGTGAGCCAGATGCCCGGGCCGTTCAGCAATTCAGGCCAGGGCCTGCACCTTCTCATGTGCTGCCCACTCACCCCACTACCTCGCCCGCCTTCTGCAGACCCTCCACTCCCGGACCAGAAAAAAAAAGCCTACTAGGCTCTTAGGCCCCTTTAAGCCACTCTCCGCCTCCTTCTCATCCTTCCAAGTGCTCAGTTTCCCCTTTTAAGGACATTGTGGAGACATTTCCAGCCTCCCAGCGCCCACTCTGGTTGAAGGGGGTCCTCTGGCTCGACAAGAGGGTAGGAGAAGAGAGCACCATCTTTGTTCTGAGCTGGAATATGATGATGAAGTTTCTGTCCCAGCCCTGGCCACCTGTAGACCTCAAAACTTGCTTCCTTTTCCAGCACCACCCTGAGACATCTCCCTGGCCCAAGACAAGCAGTCGCCTTCCCCAGAGCCTGACCACGGATGAGGAAATGTTGGGCACAGATTCTCAGTCCTGCGAGTCCTGACCCCCCACACCCGGAAGGCTCCCCCTAACTCTAGGGGTCGGGCAATTTCTGTGCCTGAGACCTTCAGAGCCCAAGCTAGGGTGGTGGCTCCTTTGGCCACTGGGCTGGAGGGCAGCGGTCTCTCTGGCTCAAATGGCCCAAGTTTATGTGGTCCCAAGATGATCAGGGGGGTCCCTCGGGCCTTCCTCCCACTCACCATTTCTTGGTGCACTCCAACACCAGCTCGTGGTAACAGGCCACAAACTGGAACTTGGCGGCCCGCTTGCCCACGCGCTGCAGACGCTTCCACACCGAGGTCATGGTCCCCGCCGCTCCCGCTACCCACTTCTCAGGTTCGTGGCTCCCGCTGGCCAGCCAGTGCTAGCCTGGCTCGGGTCCCCATGGCCACTGGGGCTCCCATCCACGTCTCCCGTCTCGCCTGTCCTGTCCGTGCAGGGGTGTCCAAGGGTCAGACCCGGGGCCGCGCTCTCCGCTGTCGCCGTGGGGTGCGCCGGGTGGTCCCGCGGGGTCGGCGGGGGGGTGCGGAGCGCGTCGGGCTGGCCGGAGCGCAGAGCCGCGAGCGCGCCGTTTCCTGGAGCCGCACCCCCGTCGGAAAGCGGGCGGGGCTCCGGCTCGGGGCGGGAGCGGGGACAGGAGCGCGAGAGGCGGGGCGACCCGGCTTCCGGGCCTCGGGCCGCGACTCGGGCGCGAAGAGCAGGCGTGGAGGGGGTGACGCCCGACAGCAGCGCCCACCCGGTGCGCGCTGGGGCAACTCCCGATCGCTGCTGGGCCGCGTCGCTTCCTGCCCGCAGCTTTCTCATACTCGCCCCATTTCCCAGGCTAGGAAAACGGAGACTCAAAAAGAGGAAAGGACTTGCTCAGGGTCTTCCTGAGAGTCTAGGCCGGAGTCAGCTGTCCTCATAGCACAGGAGGAAAGAACGAGTCAGCTGGGCCATCTCGGTGGCTTTGCCTGAGGGCAGCACTCATCCCCTAGTCTCCGCAGAACTTGACGCCTCAGCTGCCAAGAGCGAAGATAGTTCCAACCTCCCACAAGTTGCTGGAGGTCCAAGTTCTGACATCCAACCAACTGGGCAAAGCGCTTACACTCTGGGCCTCAGTTTTGATGTCTGTTAAATGGGGATAATTATAGTTCCATCTTTTATTGAGACTTTGAAAGGTAAATGCTTTCTGAGCATCTAGCACAGAGCTTGGCTGATTTTGACAGGTCTCATTAAATGGAATCCGTTATCATGGCAGAGAAAGTGTTCGTGCATGCGTATGTTTGGGTGTGTTTGCTCTTCCTCCCCTGGGAAGTCCTCTGGGGCGTTACCTATCATGTTAGCACCTAGATTAGAGCTCTTATCGCCTATCCACCCGCCCTGCACAGTAATAACCATCTTCAGATGTCAGGTCCAGCTGTTAAGAGAACTGCCCTTGGGCAACACATCAGCTTGTTCCCTCTGTGCCAGCACACTCTGCAAGGTTTGTGAATGGACTTAAGAACAGGACGTCTGATCTTCTGGAATGCCAGTTGGGTTGCAAAAACAGGAGGCAAGTGACTGTGCTGCAGAGAGTGGGGATGAGTCCATACGCCTAAACGCACAACTTCGAGAATGTTCAAGCATCTTTCGGTGGGTTTGACACCCAGGTTTGGCTCTTAATCCCAGCGGTGTGGTCCTGTTTCCTCTGTAAACCTTTTATGTAAAGGAAGCCCTTTACATATAACCGTAAAGGTCCCTAGTGCTAGGGCAGGGTGGTGCGGGGGGAGAAGCTGGGCGGCCTGTATTAGACTTTAGTGCAGTGCGCAACAGTGGGGCTTGAGCCCCGAATAGCTTCGCCGCGGAGCTTCTTGGACCGACGCCCTGCGCCCTGCCCCCATTTCCCCTCCAGGGATAGTCTGGACCGTGGGGAGTCTACAGCCTCACTCCCTTTGGCCTCCGCAGCTCGTCCTCCCATCCACGAGGCACTAGCTCCCAGGCCCTTCCGGAGGGCAAGTCCCCCTATCCCGCTGAAGGGCCCCTGAGTCCGCCGGCTCCGGCCCACCCATTTCCTGTGCCCCAACTCCGCCCTCCGCTCGAGGTGGAAAGTTTCGCTCCTCAAGATGGGCGACTCCTTCTCCTTCCTTCCCCGCTGGCCAGGAAAGCCCAAAGCAAATTGGATGGGGGGGGCTGGGTTCCGAGGCCGCCAGTAAGAAAGGGGAAGTGACTCGCCCGCAGTCACACAGCTGCTGAGCCAGGTCCCGCCAGCCTGGAAAACTCCAAACCCCACCCAGGAGAGGGAGGATTCGCACCCTGTCCGGGTTATGATTTTCAATTGGGAGTCCCAAGCGCCACCTGCTGGCGAAACACGGGCTGCACTTGGACGGAACCGCCGTTTTCCCGCCCCAAAGCCAGGCAGTCAGAACACAATGACGCTGAGAGAGTATTTATTTATCTACACGCCCAAGAACTGGCCCCTAAACTTAAATATCCAGCATGGGGCCTTAGCCTTCCTTCCTGGCCGTGGGTGGTTAGAGGGACGGGTCCTGGAGCTCTTGTCCATGGCAGTGAGACCCTGGGACCACAGGTGGGATGCCCCTGAGCCAGCAGCTGCCAATAGCAGCAAAAGGTGAAAAAGAGATGGGAGCTAGGCACTCACCCCAATCCCAGAGATGCCAGGGGGAGTGCAAGATGCATTGGGTCCCACCGTCAGACTGAGGGTTGGTCAAGCTGGGGGGTGCACACATGTGAGAAGTGTGGTGGGTAGAGGCTGCAACCTAGGTGCCCACCCAGTGCCAGCTAACCAGGAGAGGGCTTGGCAGCTCTGCCTGAGAGGAGCACGCCTTGCTCTCTTGAGGTGAGTGAGGTGGTACAGGTAGAAGAGCAGGCACTGTCGTCTGAGGACTTGCCGACAGGCAAGCTGAGCCTTTCACAGGGTACGCTCCCACCCACCCAGCTCTTCAGAGGCTGATGTGGAAGGCGTCCTGCAGCCACTGGTCTCGGGCATTGTGTGTGTGGGGCACAGTGAGGGGTGGTGGGTCAGGGGGCAGGCTGGCATCGGGAGGCTCCTCATCATCAGACAGGCCGCCGTCAGGTGGGTAGGAGCTGTCCGAGTGCAGTGAGGATGACAGGTCCTGGCATAAACTCAGGTCTTGACACAGGTGCTTGTAGTCCTGGATCGACTCATACAGGCCCCACAGCTGGCACAGTAGGGACATGTCCAGCTGCCGCAGCCCCACCTGCAGACAACTGACAGTGGGCTGGAGTTGGGGTCCAGGCCACCCCCAGCCCCTCTCCTGGAATCCACGACCCCCAGCCCAGGCCACAACAATCTACCTGCACCTTCCTAAGTGAAAGTTTGGGGGACAACAGATGGTAACTGCAAGCCGTGAAACTTTATGCAAGTCACTGACCCTCATCTGTAAAATGGGGTAAACCCATCCAGTAGGGTGAGGTGAGGGGACACGAGTAAAACACCAAAATCACATGTCAACTATTGCCATACGTGGCTATTATTAATTATTGTCGCAAACCCGTGACTCACGTGTCTTCTGCAAGACCTCTGAGACCCAAACCGCCCACCAGGGCCCACCGCCGCAGCCCCCCATCTGCCCGCTGGCCCGGCGCCCACCCACTCACCATCTCCTTGCGTAGCGCGGCTAGCGCAGAGTCGAGATTGACTGGGCGGCGTGGGCCGGCGGCAGGCCCCGAGCTGGCGGCACCGGCAGCGTGGCGGGGCCCGTCCGGAGCGCGGGCGGCACGGCTCAGTTCGTCATGGATGCGGCTACGCTGGCTGTAGATGCGCTCCAGCTCCCGCCACGAGCCCCCGCTCGCGTTAAGGAGGCCGCTGAGGCCGCGCGGCAGCGGCGGGAGCCCGGCCAGGGCGCAACCCGCGCCGCCCGGCGCCTCGGCTGACGGCAACCCGTTCATAACCCGGCCGGCGCGGGTGGCAATTCCACCTCTTTCCCTCCAACGTTCTGCTCCGGTCACCGCCCGCAGGCCGCGCTTTGTTCCCTCCTCTCCCCGGTTCCCCCCCACCCGCTCGGGCTCCGCCTCTGACCCACCCCCCTGTGTGGGCGGGACCTCCCTTAAAACGGCAAGGGCAGTGGGACCGCGTCTGCGAAGCTGCGAAAAAGTAACAGGGGCACCTACAGAAGGAGAGCTGGAAAAGGAAGAGGAAAGAACAAAAGAGGTAGGCGTCGTTCCTTGGCCCCACCCCTACACACTATGTACTGCACAATTACCATCCTAAGGAAAAGGATCTAAAAGCGGAGTCAGGAGTCTGGGGAAAGCCCATGCTAGGCTCTAAGTGCAACGAACGCGGTCCCTGCAACCTCTGTCAGTCCTGAGTACCTGCGATGGCATGAGGTGAAACAGGATGATAGACTCAGGATGCTCAAGAGAAGGAGGGGAAGCGACCACGGGGGACTGGTCTCCAAATGTCATTCACTGATCTGGAATTGGCTGAAAAGGCTGGGGGACGGGGGGGGGGGGGGGGACCGGCGGGGGACGGGCGGGGAATAAGGAGGGACGGGGTGGAGGGCGGGGAACGACACGACACGACGGGCATGTGCCCAGAGACAAAGTTAGTGACCTGGTCCTCTTGCTGCTGTCTTTAAGGACGCTAAGGCCTCCTTAGAATAGGGATTTCACATAGCCCTCTACCTACTCCTCCTCCTGACTAACTCAGCAGGGCATCAGGGATTGCAGATGGTGGAAGGGTGAGAGGTCAAGAGAAAGAAAAAGATGAGGAGCGCTGAGGCTGGCATGCACACTCAGAGCCAGGAACAGAACAAACCACACAGGAGCAACTGTTTTTCTACACGGTTTTTCTCAGGGTGGGGGTCTCTTAGTGCTGCAGCTGCTTCAGGCTGCCTAGGGCCTCAGCACACGCCCGAATAAGGCCACACAGCTGGATACTAGTCTCCAGGGAGGTGCTAGATCCCAACTCAGCTGAGGCCCAGGTCAGCTTCTGCAGGAGGGCTGCCTGTGTGCAGGCCACCACATCTGCATTTGGAGGTGCAGCAGGAGTGGATGGCCCCTGGGCTGCCTTAAGCCCTGCTGCAGCTCCCTCACAGTGCTCTGGACGGGGCACTGGGGGCTGAGGTGTGGGCCGAGAGCCAGAGGGGTGCTCTGTGGAAGAGGCGAGCTGGTGTTCCCGAGCTTGCGAGAGGGCAGCCTGGGCATTTAGAGCTAAAAAGAAAGTCCGTGGAATGGTTAGGATACCTGGCCCACCTCATTCCTGAATCACCTGCTCTTTACTGCTCTGCTCTTTCTGGGCTTATGCTGGTTTTCCTGGTCCTCTATAAAGCAATTCACTCATTTTCTACCTTCTTTTCTTTCTTTTTTTGAGACAGGGTCTCACAATGTAGCCCAGGCTGACCTTGAACTCACTATATCCCTCACACTGTCCTCGAACTCACAATCTTCCCGCATCTGCCTCCCAAGAGCTGGAATTACAGCTACATACAACCATGTCCAGATCTGTTTTTTCCTTGTGTATGCTAAGCAAGCACTGTACCACTGAACTGCACCACGAGCCACAAACCACTTTTTATCAGTTATTTATGCCCTACCTTCATCTCCCTCTCAAGACTGAGCTGCCTCAATTGAGCCCCAAATCGACCCCGTGTCGGGAAAAGTGCTTAAAGCTCTTACTAAACGGTCTTCTCTAGAGCCAAGCCCCACGCAGACTCCACTGTCATTCTCCCTGCCCACTGTTCCTGAGCATCCATCATCACCTTGCTTCCCCACCGGGCACACCTGGCCCCTCACCCGGATTATCTTTGTCCACGTCTGAGTCGAGCTCCTGACAAGCCACGCAGTAGATTTTCCGCTGTTTGTCTTGAAGGAGGATCGTCTGAGGACCAGAAAGCACACGGGGCACGAGTGAGATGCCAGGCGACAGGGTCCAAAGGGGAAAGCTGAGAAAGGGTCGTGCGACCTGGTCCACGGCCCCATCCCCAGTCACTGGGCGGAGTCTCCTCACCCCGCAGTCCGCGCACGTCTCGCCCAGCATGCGGTAGCCGCGCAGCAGGTAGTCGCCCATGAGCCGGGAGATGCGATCCTGCCGCTCCCGTCGCGCCTGCAGCACTTTCGTCTCGGCCTCAGTCGGAGGCTCCCAAGACAAATCGTCGACTTCTAGGGAAGAGAGGCACAAGGGACCGAGGTCTTGTCGGAGCGAACTGCCTCCCGTACCCCGCAGCCACAGGCCCCCACAGCCCAAGTCCTCACCACCAGCGCCGTTCAGGGCCATGTTGCCGTTGTCGCCGCTGGGCTGCAGGAAGTGGCGCACAAGCAGCGCGCCTTGGCGGTGGCTCCGCCCCTTCCATGCGGGCAGGTGGTGAGGGCGGAAGTGACGCATACGTGCGGCTCTCTGACTTCACTCTGCCCTTAATGGGGCGTGTCTGCTGCAGAGCTGACCCAGCCCTGGAGGCGCGTCTATCAGCCGGAGCTCAGCTGACGCAAACTTGCAACTTTGACGGTTGTCTCCGTGGCTTCTCCGGTAGCAAATCTGGGAAGTGTCTTCGTAGGGTCGCCTTTCCTGCCGGCCCGGATGGACGGGACCACTTGGTTTGAGAAGTCCCTGCCGGCCTCCGCTTGTCTGGGGGTTTTCCTTTTTCCAAAGGCCGAGCCCAGGGCAGCGGGACAATGCCGTCAACACAGCCACAGGCGCCCTTTACGAGCGGTGGAGCCTCGGGCCTAGAGCTTACTTGGATCAGCTAGGGAGGCCAGGGCGGGAGGGATCATTGGCGCTTTCTGCCTATTTTAACACTTCTCTCCTCCTTCACGTATCGCGTCCCAGTCTGTCCATCCCCCAACCACGGCCTAGGACGGTTGCAAAGCTTGCTCCTAAGCAAACCATTTTTTATAGTGTAAGCCCTCAAAAACTTCTAACTGAAAAGTGCTGTGCCGGGCAGGTGCAGTTTCGCTTCTAGCCGCAGCTGTGATGCCCTCGAGAGAGTGAGGATCACATATGCTAATGACCGTTAGGTTCTTCTTGGAGGGGTTGCAAGTTGAAACCCTGAACATTGGCCTTAGTGATTTATTTTCTCTTTTGTGCTCTGCTCTTGTTTTTGAGATGCTGGGGATTGAACCCAGGACCTTGCACATGCACTCTACCACTTGAGCTACTGTTCCAGCCCTTCTGTGTTTGATTTTTTTTTTTTCCATTATAGCACTCCCTTATTAGGTTGGAGAAGCCAGATGGAGATCCCAGATGTGCAACCTGCAGGGCCCTGAGGCTGTAAACCTAGGCAATGGAAAAGATGCTAGATGCTAGGACTAGACCCTTTGGACAGAATATACTTCTCTTTTTTTTTCCCCTTTCTTTTTTTTTTTGAGGTAACAGTGTTTGTACTTACTTGGCCTTGCACTTGCTATGCCCCAAGACCAAGAAAATCCTTTCTCAAGCTTATCTGAAGTGCCCTTCATGTGCCCCATCCTCCTCCTGCTAGACCCCCCAGGAATTCCATTTTCTCATCCTTATTGCCTCCTGCTATGTGCAAAGCCCTGTGTCCCCCTTTCCACTCCCCATCACCAGCAGGCTTTTGGGCAGCAGGGTACCTACCTCAGGGTCTATACCCCAAGTCATTTCTGCCAGGCTGACTAGAGCTACTGCTCTGAACCATCTCTTAGACTCCAGCCTGTATACACAGAGCCTCGAGGTCATCCAGTACCATCCTTAATTCTCCCAGTGCATCCCCTGTGTCATTGTCATGGGCGATACACACTCAATTGCCTACTCAGCTTGGCACCAACTAAGACGTTCACACTCACCTTCTCACCTAGTCCCTTTCATTTATTCCTCATGATTACTAATATCCCCATTTTACAGAGCAGAAAACTGAGTAATCGTTTTTAGGGATTTTTTGGTGGGGCTATTGGGGTTTGAACTCAGGGCCTCATGCTTGCTAGGCAGGTGCTCTACTACTTGAGCCACTCTAACACCTCTGAGTAATTGTTTTAAGACATAAATCATATTATTTTGTTTTGTGTGTGTGTGTGTGTGTGTGTGTGTGTGTGTGTGTGTGTGTGTGGTACTGGGACTTTGAACTCAAGGCCTACACCTCGAGCCACTCCACCAACCCTTTTTGTGATGTTTTTTTCTTGAGCTAGGGTCTCACAAACTATTTTTGTGGGCTGTCTTCAAACTTTGATCATCCTGATCTCTGCCTCATGAATACTTAGGATTACAGGCATTAGCCACCGGCGCTCAGCTCATATTACTTTTGTTCAAAACCATTTGGCAAATCTCCCCCATCAAACTTAGGCAAAAATCCAAAGTCCTTATTACAATCTCCACAAAACTACAGAGTTGGTCCTTGGTCCCCTCATCATCTCCTATTCTTCCTATATGCCTCCTCTCCCAATACTCAATTTCATAAACTTTCTCTTCTCAGGCCCCCCCTGCTTCACCATTGGGCGGACAAGGCACAGGCCTAGGTTTAATCCTGGATCTGCTGCTTACAGGCTCTGTCTTCTGGAGTAGTTTACTTTGCCTCTCTGGACTTCAAATCTCCTCTGTGAAACAGGGCCAGATATTCCTATTTGGAAGGGCTACTGTAAAAATACAGTGCAGAGATGTGAGGCAAGGGGCACTAAGAGACAGTTCTCCACCAGTCTCACATTTACATAGGTCTTATGAGCATCTGGACTATTTTTCTGGGACCTCTGTATAATGAACAGTCTTGGACTTCAGAGAAAATGTCTCCCTCTAGAGCAAAGGTGGGGTATACTCACTGCCCATTATAAAAGATCTGGGCTCTCCTGTAAGAGAGCTCACCACATATGCAGGTCTCCATGTGGGTCCATCAGCGAGTTAGACCGGGTTAGACATCAGGGCAGGGGTAAGTGACACAGATGTGTTCATGTTCATGCTGCCTGCTGGCTATGAGTAATAAAGTCCTTTGTCTTGACCGAGGATTCTGTGTCTTCTGCTAGCATCCATGAACTTGTGCCCAGTTTAACTTGTGGCTAAAGGGGGTGGGGATGGAACTT